ATTAATTTGGAGAACCTTAAAAAGAAAATAACGAATGTTCTTTGAGATCATGACTTGAAGATATATTTTTCATCATTATTTAAGGCACCAATCATTGAGTCTTTCCTTTGGACTTGTTTTCTTAGGCAAAACTTTTCCTTCATGGGTTTAGTTTGGGGAAACGATAAATTTCTTTATTTTTTTTTATTGGTTTTTGGTTTCGGTTTTTTTTTTGTTTGTTTTTTTTTTCAAATGGAGGATTGACTTGTTACTTTCGTTGAGAAAGGTTATTTAGAAAAGCGAGGATATATCTTTGGTTTCCATGGTGAATGATTTTCTTTAGTATATATCTGTCATGCTTTAAAATTTGATCAATCTTTGTAATTTTTTTTTTGTTTTTGAATGAATTTTCCATCATACTTTATTAATGGAGAAAGATGTAATGCCAAATAATACTTTCAAATGAACATCTCTTGATTTCGGATCATGTAATATAAAATTATAAAAGAAAGTAGAAACATTCTTTTATTCAAAGATATGGCTCAATTCATGCATAACTAAAATATTCATGAAAATAGGATTCAAAACCAAACTTGCAAATTGTGAACATACATCTTCTCCATAACTTTCGGACTCCTTTAGTCTCCTCATCTCTTGTATTAACAACTTTCCGGTTTGAAAGTTGGTTTGTGTTTTTATTAGGAGCATGCAAACCATCTTCTAAACCGATCCAACCTTTCCGGATCAAATCCACAAGCTTCTTCTTAAAGGCGGGACAATCATTGATGTTATACCCCGCAACGACAAGAATGATATTCACATCTCTCTTCTTGCTTGTACAATAGAGGATAAGGAGGGCGCATAAGGCTAGTAGAGATTGGAGTGATCCGTCCAATGCTTACCGGATGTTCAAATATTTCACCCAATGAAAGAGATAAAAATGATAGTTGTTTAAGCTCTTTTTTATGGTCTCGGTTGTTTTGGTGATACTCGGTTGTATGGTGTTTGGAGGTTGTTAAAAGTTGATGGATTTAGGAAATGCATATTGGCTTAAGGGAATTGATTTGCTCGATAGATTTGGTGGGACATATGGAAGGGATTCGTTTGATTTGACAAGTATATTTGGTTCATGGTGTTCATTGGATTGGGGTTGTCTTGGGTAAATGAAGGTCTTTGGAGGTTACTTGGGACCGTCATGATTTTCATATTTTTCTCGATTACTCCTTCGATTCTTGGTTTGATAAGATCCGAGTCTCAACTTGGTGTATTTCGCTATCCGCCCTTTTGGTACCACTACTCCTTTTTTTTTCGAATCATCGAGAATTTTTCTAGCTTTGAACGCTTGTTCTACCTTCTCATAACAATATCATTAAAATTGGAGGAAATGTTTCCAATCGGATACTTAAAATACGGTGTCTTGAAAGTGTTTGAGAAAGTAGCGATCAACTCCTGTTCGATAGTGACAAATAAATGCGTGTCGCCACTTCACGCCATCTTCGAGCATACTCCTTAATGGTTTCTTTTGTGCCTTTTTCTATGTTTTGCATATCGGATCTATTTGGGGCTACCCCGAGGTTAAATTTGTACCGTTTAATGAAGGCATCAACCAAATCCTTCCATTTTTTTTTAATTTTAGCTCATTCTAGCCTAATATACCAACTCAAAGCAGATCCTCCTAGGCTCTCATGGAAGAAATGTATCGGCAGCTTCTCGTCGTGTATAACCTCGGTCATCTTACTACAATAGACCCTCACATGGGTCATCGGACACCGAACACCGGTGTACTTGATGAATTCCGGTATCTTAAACTTTTTTGGGATCACCACATCGGGTACTAGGCACAACTCAACAACTCTTACGAGTATCATAAACATCGGCACCTTTGATAGCCCTCGGGCGTTCTTCAATAGCCATTAACTTGTCCAAACTTAGACCTTCGACTATCTTGTAACCATAAGCCTTTTCTCCTACAAGATCCATCGCCGACATAGGTGGCATTTGTGGCACTCATGGGGCCATTGGATATGCACCAGCAGGATATGAAGTCTCTGCATGGAAAGCCGTTTGATTAGTTGTTGGTACGGCGGATGGCCTAGGTCGATGGGGTGATGGAACAAGTATATGGCACTTGCAGGTTGTGCTTGACCTTGATTCAAGCTACTTCCCCAACTCGGTTGTACCTACTCAAATAGGGCTTTAGTTGAGCTAGATCCTTTCTCAAAGAGTCGATATCTTGCTAATGAATTTGGTCTTTTCGTGCTCTCTCTTCATTCTCCATTTGACGGACTCGAATCCGGTGTTGTGGACGTGCGAGGGAATTGAGCTTTGATGGAGCAACCTATGTTTCAAAATCCTGAAAAACTTAAGGAACATATGTACAATGAATATAAAATATATACATGCATGCTTTGAATTGGGTTAGATACCTTTCTTTGTTCGACATCCTATAAGAGTCGAGAGTTAGAAAAAATATCATTTGAAAATGATTCGTGTCTTAATCGAGTCAAACCTAATGGACATGATCTTTTTTTTTTTTTGGCAAAGCTCATCTAGTCCCGAAGTCTTTTCAAGTTTCTAGATCGTCTAAATTACCCCACTAATTAGGTAATTTAGCCTTTAACCTTATGCACCAAGAGGTAAGAGAAGATTATTCCACCATTTCCTATGCATAAAGTGAGTTTCAATCCAAACGAGAGTTCAGAAAAGCATCGGTAGATTTTTGTCATACTTGCCTCCGAATCTCTCTATCTAATCACAACGAGGGTTTAGCTCGAGTCCGGAGTTTTTACGGATACTTCGTGGTATGTGCAACGAGTTCAAAGTAGATATTTAACCCGAGTTCACAAAATAAAAATATACATGAATGAAAGAAAAAATAAATTACATAAAGTTAAAAAGATTTAAAATATGTACAAAAAATAAATGACTCAAAATTAAATGAAAAAAACAAATTACTTGAAAAATAATTGACAAAAATAAATACATGAAATAAACTTAACGGACTAAACCTATGGCCTAACTCTAATTCCCCGATGGAGTCGCCATTCGTCGCTACTCGACGTCGGACGGGACTCGAAAAAATAAAAAAAAATCTAAAATCTCTAGTTTAAGATGAATTTTTATTTACAAAATTATTTACAAAGTTTGGAGTCGCCACCTAGTATTGAAGGAACTAGGACCCTAAAATGGGTACTGGTTCAAAGATTCTGTGGTAAGGAGTTGGTTACGCTTATGGGAAGATATTCAATCACCCAAAAGCGCCCATTCCTAAGAAAGGTACCACGTATAGTTTAGTCCTAAATTCATCTCGTAAAGTGTTTTATTTTTGCCACATTATTTTTTATTTTTGAAACTCCAATTTTCTAAGTCAAATTAGGTTTTTGATTTTTTAGCATGACATCGTATTGAAACGATCGTCGGACTCCTTCCATCGGATTCACTTTTTTGAGTCTCGACACAACCGGTGTGCTCGAGAACACTTATTTATCGAAAATGTTTTTTTTTCTAACAACGAGTCCCTATCGGATAGGAGACTTTGTTAAAAGTTTTATGATTTTTTTTTCATTTGTTTTTGTTTGGTGGAAGACCATCATCCGTCCCTAAAGAATTATGAGACTTGACAATCTTTCACCCATTAATTACCGAGTCTAATTACTAAACCAATAAATTAAAAGTTACACTAATTAAATAAATAAAAGGAAATCTAAAATTTAAATTAATAACATGCATAAAATAATTACAACACTTAAATATTAAATGCTAAGTTAACATAAACTAACAAACATAAAAAAAAAAAAAGAAACTCAAAATTAAATTTACATTAAAAATAATTAAAGACAATTCAACCTCTAAATTAAAAAATAAAATAACAAACATACATAAAAATTTAAAACTAAGAAAAAAATTTTTTTTTTTTTTTGAAAGGTTCGAAGCTAGATCGTCCAACTCTACCCAAAAATTCGAGCCGACTCAACTATCCAACCCCGGCCACAAGTGGGTTGGGGTAAGCCCAACCCACACTTCTTTTAAAAAAAAAACTTGAGCCCAAGAACATAACCCAAACCAAATTTTTAGGAATTTTAGATCAAAACACATTTTTTCTTTCTTTCTCTCTCTTTTTCCCGTTTCTCTCTTTTCTTTCTTTCTTCTTCTTCTTTCTCTCTTCTTCCCGAATCCAACCTCCATGGGACGAACCAAGACTAGTTCGTCCCTCCTTCTTTCCCTCTCCTCTTTCTTTTCCTTTCCTTTTCTCTTTCTTCTCTTTTTTTCTTCTTCTTTCTCTCTCCTATCGAAGCTCGCCATGGACGAACCAGTGGTGGTTTGTCCATGGTCACCCAATTCCTTCCCTTTTTCTTCTTTACTTCCTTTCTTCCTTCCTAAAACTCTTAATCTCTCTCTAAATCAAAAAGCCCCAAATCAATTTTCAAACATTTCCAATTTTTTGGCCGAACCCTAGGTTTTATTTTTCTTTCAATTAGACTTGATTGACTTGAAATCAAGTCAATTCACACCCTTTAGGACTCAATTTTATCAAATCCCCCAAATCCATTTTTTTAATTTTTTCATAATTTTAAAAAATCCTCAAATTTTAAATCAAAACTTAAATTGTGTTAAAAATGAAATTAAAGAGAAATTACCTAAAAGAATTGGTGGAAATGGATGTAGATTGCAACTTCAATTCAAGTAAATTTAATCTCTTTTTTTTTTTTTGGATTTTCTCCTTTTTTTTCTTTACTTGTCGATTTCCTTTATTTTTTTTTATTGCTACTCTTTTCTAATTTTTTGACTTCCCCCTCTCCCTGTTTGTGTTGTGAATTGTGCATATATATATATATATATATGAATGCTTGGTTGGTTCCCTCACTATGATGGTGGGGGATTTTCTACAGGATATGGGTGTCAAATGGAGGGCTGAATTGGACGAGTTTGTGAGTCGTGGCGGTGGTGAAACTGTTGGAAGTAGGGGAGGTTGTAGGGTGGTGCTGCGAAATTTGCGGTAATAAAGGGTGCTAGAGGTTAACTTGGGTGATGAGGGAGCCGCTGAAATTTACAGCAATAGGGTGGTTGGCTTGATATTGTTGATTGGAGGTGAGAATCTGTGTAGAAGCAAGTTGGGGTCGACAGGATGGTCGGACAGAGTGTGAGGTTGTGAGTCGTAAAGAAGGCTGGTGATGGAGATTGTAGGTCGCTAGAGTTGTGATTGTTGACTTGGGGAGAGACTGTTGAACATGGAGAGGAGGTTGTGGGTCGCAAATTGCAGCGATGGGGGCTGCTGGAGTGGCCGATTCGTTGGAGCCAAAAGGATGATGCAAGTTGAGATTCGGGGATGAAACTAGAAACCAAATTAGTTCCTAGGGAAACAAGGTTGCTGAAACTAGAGTTTCCTAAATTAAAATTTGGAATTGGTTCCTAAAGAAAGCTGAAAATCCGTACATGAGATGGAGAGGAACTGTCCCTCCCTCTATTTTTTTTTTTTTAATGTAAAGATTGCAAATTATCAATGAAAATTCTTTTTTTCTATTTTTCTTAATTAAAATTTTATTTACGTTAAGCATGAATTAAAAACAAAATAAAACCAAATAATAGTCAAATAAACTACAAAAATAAAAAATGGATAAAAATTTGGGGTATGACACATAAAACCGATTAGCATAAAAATAAACCAAAAAATAACAGAACTTTCTATATGCAATCATTAAAAAAGAAATTCCATGAATTCACCAAATCAACTGTTGGGATATCAAGCCCACGAAACGCGACGTATGTGGCAACAAGCACAGTGAACTTTCCCTGTCAAAAATCATTCAAAGTTCTCTCCCTCTGATGCTGAGATATACCTCCATGCAATGTCTCGGAAGCTATACTGTTTGTTAATGCCGTAGAGACTTCATCACCATCTCGTTTGGTCTGAGTGAAAGTAATAGTCTTCCCGTCCTTTGCATAGACCTAAATATAATGGCAATGTTCTTTGTGCTTTAGCAACAACAGTTATCCCTGATTCTGAAATCACTTCGACCAATAATGAGTTATATTATCACGACAGTAATTGATAATGACCGAAACAATAATGCATTCAATAGTAAAAAATTACTAATAACCTATATATGTTATTATAGAAGACAAAAGCTTGTCATTTAAAGCACCAATTTCCACTCAGATGGAGGAAGTGTAAGTGACACATGAATGCATAAAACAAGATACTATAAGGGTTTTCTAAATTGATGATATTCAAGTGTGCCTGCAGAATTCTAGCATGGTTTTAGTTGCTTATCGTGGTAGTCATTCCCCAAGTTCAAATTTCTAAACTTTGCTTCTTGCACAGATTCTGTGACAATACTCTAAAACATAGCAAATTAATAGAGTCTATTTAATTAGAAATTCCTTGCATCATTTGAACAACACCTCCATAAAGTAGGATGTATGAAGTGGTTGATGAGAGCTAGGAGGGAGAGAAAGAAGCATGAAGTAAGGCGAAGGAGAAACCTGGAAGTAGAGAAGGAGCTGTAGTTGGTAAAGAGATCAGAGTTATGGAAGATCAAAGAGAGCTCTGCAATCAGAATTGAAAATAACAAGTAATAGAAAATGAAGATAAAGAAGTTGAGTTCACCAAGTTGGTCATGGATCAGATTTTTACATTTCCATTCCTAAACTTTTTATTTCTAATAATCAAACAATACTTAAGAGTCATGATTCAATGTATTATATAATGAAATATTTCTGAATAAAGTTTCACATTAATCGAGAATTAACAATTTATCACTTCACTTTATAAATTAATTGAACATTAAAATATGTTTATGTTTTAGTTGAACCACCCCCTCTTATGCAAAGCATAAAAAAATAAAAAATAAAATAATAATTCAATTTCTAACATTTATGAAGAATTAAACTCATACTCTCTCAAAACCTCTTCATGTCTATCAAAAGACTGCAACTTTGGCAACTGTTGTTATACTAGAATTATGCTGCTTTGTGACTTTTCACTGATACTTCAGCAATCAGGGACCCGGCTTGGCTTAGGGATGGTACCATTGATTAGTTCCATTTGATTGTTAATTACCCCTTTCGCTTTGATTATAGGGTCCTTGACTTCTCGACACGAAAACGTGAAAAGTTAAAAAAAAAAAAAAAAAAAAACAAACAAAATAAAGTTGAGTAATGATTCTCTATGCCTAGCTTATCAACTGGAACTTTAATTAATAATTGTAGGATTTCTAACTTTTTATTTACCATCTAGAATCAGTTTTTTTTTTCAAAATAAATAAATAAATTATTCATCTCAAAAGAAAAGGTTGACAAATATAATACCTAATTTGGAGGATCATAATCAAGTTTTTGTTGTAGAAAAAACGAACCATTTTTTTTAAAAAAAAGTTCAATGGAGGCCTAATTATGGCTGCAAACCATTTGAATTTAATAAATTATGATTAGAATCTGTACCCACTTCAAATCGAAAGAGTATAATTCAATGATGCATGGAAACTAATAATAAATATTTAGCAGCATATTCATCATATTGTCAACTTAATTTAACAAAGTTTAGTGCAAACTTTACCCGATTTCAACCAAATATTACACTGCTCTTGATGTTTGACCACTAGTAGCTCTCTTCTCACCTTCTAATAACCACTCGTTTCTTCTTCTTCTTGTTTTTTTTTTTTTTTTTTCAGTCCGTTGCGACCTAAATTGCTTGCTTATTCATTATCCATTCATTAACCCTAACCTAAAACTAGTGTACATTAAATTTAGATAAGTCAACTATGGCCACTCTCTTAAAAAAAGTAGTATAATTGATTTTAGAAAATTCATCTCTATATATCGATTGTATAATTTCATTACTGAAATATATATATATATAAATGAAAAAAATAAAAAAAATTTCTCTTATTTGGAGATGAATTTTCTAAAATCAAGTGTAGTTGACTTATCTAAATTTAATGTATACTAATTTTAGGATCAATTTTCTAAGACCAAGTAATTTTATAATAAAAAAGAATTAAAAACAAGGAAATCTCAACGACAACCAATTATTATTATTATTTTTTTACCATGAGTAAAATCTGGTGGCAAAGTACGTAGAAAATTAGACAGTCCGATCTTTAGGTTTGAACTAAAAGTCAAGGTTTAATTTTCTCTGTTACATCGCATAACATTCCAAATAAACAAAAACCGAATTACTAATAGAACAAGTAAAACTTCATTCAAAAATCTAGAAATAAAGTTGAAAAAAAACCTAAAAAGACAACAAAAGACACAATAAGAAAAGAGTTAAGAAAATAAACAGAGAACGAAAAGATAAAAACATAAATCCACTCATTAGCATTAAAGTTATTACAGGAAAAAAAAAAAACATAAGGGCAGCAAACAGAGACATTAGATCAAAGAAACTGAAAAAACAAAGACATTTGACAACCAAGAAAAACACAGAAAGAGCAACCCAAGCCAACAGAAGAAAAAGCAACAGTAAAAAGCACAGTACGATTGGATGTAGGTCTACAGTAGAATTGGGTCTAAAAATGCAGTGAAATAAAGTGGAACAACACAGTGTTTTTTTTTTTGAATGTGGAAAATAAGAAGAAGAAGAGAGGAACCACTAAGTTAGATAAAAATAACAGATAATTACGAATTTGCTTTGGCTTGGCTTTGGATACATACTGACGAATTCAGTTAGAATTTTATGAAGATGGAGCAGTAGTAAGATTTTTTTAATTTTTTTCACTTTTTCGGTTTAGAGAGAAAATGAAGTGATATGACAAGTCTTTTTCGACTTGTTTCGCATCATTAAGGAAAGCCAGTAAAATTTGTTTGGAATTCAATGCGGAAAACCAAAGCTGTTTTGCAACATCTGCTTAGGATGTGTTTGTTTCTAGGTCCGAAAGTGATGAAATGTTTCTCCTTTTTCGTGATTTTTGAACACACAAATCAGACACGGCACCTGCAAACACAATTATGCATACAAAATTCTTATCACTTGGTTCCGCCGGCAGACACAAATCATACCACTCTCTATTTGCTCAGTACTGGTTTTTCCTAGTCTTTCTTGTAACCAAAAATAAAAATAATTATCTTAAAAAACCTCCAAATTAATAAGAAAATAAAATTTTATTGAAGCAAGGTACTACTTTTGTTTGGCTAAACCCCATGATTGTCATCCCTAATCATTTAATTTAGCCTTTAACAAGATTTTTGAAGGCCATTTAATGAGCATACTAATTAAGGACGACTTCGTTAAACTTCGTCTGGAATTAAACATAAAAAGGGAATAGGAAAAGGAAGGCTTTGAGAGGACGGAAAGATAGAAGAGTTGAGTAAGTCTGATACAAAATGTACTTAAAGGATCACCTTTAAAGTACAAATTCATGAAACCATTCAACTCAGCTCAGTCTTGACTAAGATCATATGAGCAGTGAAGAAAAGAAATAGTTTACTTTACATCAACGGGAGTGGCAATAATTGCTCTTTTATAAGATCATTAAAATTTCAGCGCTCTGAAGAAGAGCATACACAAAAATCAAACACGAATTCAATAATGTCACAAGTATGGATGACAGGATTGCCAGGTGAAAATCCTCGTCTGTTGACAAACCAGCTGAAAAGTTCACTATTCTTCACCATGTTGCAGAAGATTGAAGGTTACATGATGAAATATTCGTACAAACATCAACCTAATCTTGCTTCTCTTCTTAGAACCTGGCGCAAAGGGGGAAAAATGAGAAAAAGGCCGTGACAAGAATTAGGTGAGAAGCGCTTAAACTTTTGGGGCCATGAACAACAAGCTAAACCCGCCAGCCTTGCAAATGGCAGTAAGAATCATTATGCAATGTCACACAAATACTTGGCCAGAAAATGAAGGGAAGTATTTTAATTGAAGCAAATTGAAGCTTCAGGGCCCTTTATAAAGACATGAAAAATATATCTGGACAAGAATATGCAATAAAATGAGGGGCATTGCCAGGTGATATTTAATCAGACATAAATTTGGCAGCGCTGCAAGAGGTAGAACTAAGTGTTGAAGGGGACAGGGAGTGAATTTCTATATCAGGCAGGAGGCCCTTAAGCATCCATATCAGCCTGCAAGGCTCCTACAGAATGAGAAAAACCATAGCAGTCTTCATAAGGACAAGACAGATGCAGAGAAAGATGCATATGACCAAAAAATGCATGGGTAGTGTAACCAGTGAATAGAATGTCCCTGTGATAGTATTCTTTTTTTATTTCATAAATTGACCTAAAAGTACAATTCTACAGAATTCCCAGTGTATACCCTGCAGTAGTAATATGCAGTTGTCAATCAAATTTCATGATAGATTATCTAAAATCTTCAATCCAATCCAAAGGAAGCAAAACCAAAACTTCATATGCAGCCCTTCATGGTTTAACTGAAACAGAGCATCTTGAGAAGTGAGAACACAGTTGAAGGAATATCATAAAGCAATCCTTACCTCTTCAGCAAATTTTATCAAGATGGTTGTCCTAGGTCGTTGCTGGCCCTCCATAGGTACAAAATGAGCAGTTACTACAGCTGGAAAACCTGCACTATCCAAAACACCCTACGAAGGGAAAAAGTAAAAAAAAATCTCATCAGAGACTCCATCCATCAAAAGTCAGTTGACTGGTATGAATTAAATTTAATACTTACCCTTACTATTCCAGCAACAAATGCCCCACAGTTAAATGTGCCCATGTCCTTCGGAATTGAAATGAATCTGCAGCACAAAGACAATTCAGCACCTAGACCATAACTTAAAACCACAAACCCAGCTACTTGTAACAAAAATCGTCATATTATGAACCAAAAAAAAAAAAAAGCCAATGAGATAATTACTACCTGTTGACAAGGAGTTCCTTCTCACTGATCATGTATTCATCTTCATGCTCAGTGCCTTTCTCAAGGGAGTCGGCAACCTAACATGATAGCAGGAGGGGGACCGGTAAAATCCAACTTTGAGTTTTACATGAAACTCTATTTATTACATGCTTTACAAGCACATGTATTCAAACAGGAAAAATAAAAGGGTGGACAAACAAATGCAATTCAAGAAGACAAAAATGGATAAACAAGCGGAATTGCAGATCAGAGATTGAAATAAAAGGTGGGTGTGTGTGTGTATACACCTTGGTATCATTTTCAATTTTCACATAAAATTCAGTTTAAGAATTCATTAAACTTTCAAAGACTACAAATAAACTTACCTTTCCAAATAACACTTTCCACACTGTGCTGTGTACAAAGGACAAAATACCTAACAATCGTGTTTCCCTTCTGTTTCCCTGTTGCATCAAAAGAAGCACAGTTATAGCATTGTACAAACCCAAATGTAACGCAAGATAAATTTAAATGAAGCTAACCTGTTGGCCTATTAGCTGAGCTAAGCCAAATCATATTTGTAAAAGAATATTTAATGCAGGTTTACTCAACACAGAAAATAATCCTCCAGAGAAAAAGTGGCTAGAGTTCCAGACAACTTAAGCCAAGCCCATTGTATAGACACAAAACTAGTTGTCATAGGGGTGAGAGAGAGAAGGAAAGAAAGAGCAAAATGAAATCCACTCTGTTGGCAGCATGAAATTCAAAGTATCCAGTCGGAAAAAAGTAGGGCCATTAAGGGAATCAAATGTCAAGTGGAGGATCGAACAGGAAAGTTATTTTAATTAGAAAAGGAAAAGAAAAAAATAGGAATGCATTCATGCAATGAAAAACAGATATCGCACACAAACTTCTCTATGAGTAATTCTGATGAGGGAACATTATTCTTTATGTCACAATTAACCCATGCGCTAAAGCTGAAACTTCACCTCACATGTTACATCCAATTTAAATATCCAATCATATATAAGTGTGCACACAAACTCTGATAAGAGATATAGATGAATAATGCCTATATTCCGGCTAATTCTGAATGAAAACTGCCAAATAAAATAGTAACCATACATATGGGGGAAAAAGAATAGTCCAGTTTCTGGCCAACCATCTACTTCCCATTCGTAAGTAAGATATTTATAGAACATAGCTAAAAGATTGCATCAATCTAGGTATAAACAATAAATTTTAACTGTGAGTTCCAAAGAGAACTCTTAAGAATGTGGATACCTTGTCTCTATGACAAAGAAGTTCCAGAACTCGAGCCCCAACAGCATATCCAGCATCCTCTAACCTGCTCCATTTCCCACAAAGATGAACATTACTAATGACAACAACCCGAATACTTAATATCAAAAATTAATCAGAAGGCCATGTACAGCATTACAGCTGTATTGAATTAAGACTTCTGATTAAACAAGTTTCAAACATCCCTTCTTTTCAAGTTCTTTTTGTTTCAGTTCTCTTGATTTTCTTAATCCATCCTTAGCCCATAGTTGCCAAAACAACACTAAAATTTTATTGATTTAAACATCCAGTATCAGTTCTTCGTTGCTGCGACCAAATTAAGTCATATATATATAGTGCTAGTCTCTAATTTTTTTATCAAAATGATCCAAAAGATATCAATTGCACAAATGTCTCATCCTTAACTATCTAAAAATCAAGCAATTTGCTTCGATAATTGATTTATAATTTGACAATATTGCTGCGAAAACAACAGCTCACCTTCGCTCTAATTCAGCAATGTTATCAACCTGTGTTTGATTATACTGAACAAGCTCCGAAAACAGAAATGCAAAAGCACTCAAACTCACCTGCAAAAGATCGATTGAATGCTCGAAACTTCAACTCTCAACTTCCAAACAGACCATAACTACACCAATGAATTGAGTTCCTAAGAGATCGAAAATTCGAATAAGAAGGTTACCTCTTGTTTGCCTTTGCTGAGAGGTTTATCGAGAACGTTAGAGTATTGCTTGATCTTGCCTACTCCGATCATGTTTTTTAGGGTTTAATTTTCTTTCTTCCTAAGGATTTGTGGATCGAATCCGGGAAAATGTTTGCTTTATAGGGAGTTTATTATGGTCTGATTGGAAGCTGAGAAAAAATGGAGTAATAATCTACACTAGTGGTCTACGGGTGGTCTGTGTTGCCGTTTTGGTAAACTTTGGAACCGCATCGAACTAGCGGACGACGGGTCTTTAATGGGTACGGGCTTACACGTTTGGGCTTGTTAGAGTATTTTGATGGCCCCCATCAAAATTATTTCTGTCTGGTTACGTTTATTATTTTTCTATTTATATTCCCAAGTTGTTAAAACATGTATCAATCTATCTTAATCAAGGTCATCTAACTCTACCTAAAAAAAACGATTTTGGTTGATTTCCTAATCTTAGAGAGTTAATCCGAATGCATTTTAATTTGAACTATCAACCGTGTTATGTGTTTCTTGGTGAAAATAAGTAATGCTAATCTTTAAATAATTATTTTACAAAATTCATTTATCAAAAATAACAATCATTAGGTATATAAATGTTACTAACGAAATTCACTTATTATTTAATGCATGAGATATCCGTACAATGGTGGTTGGTATTTATTAGGCAAATGAATTTTTTAAATCGAGACTAATCTATATAAATTAAATCAAGATCGAATTTCACATTGAACTTTAAAATTATGTTCTAGCTTGATTTGTTAACTTTTTGACTGAATTTGAGCTTCTTCGCAAACATAAAAAATCAAATAAATATAATATTTTTTATGTAATTGTTATTTAAAATTAATTCATTTATTTCGATACTGTATATTAATCTCGATTTGAATGTTAAAATCATTCAATTATTCATTGTATATGTATTTTATAATTGCTTTACATTCACTGTATAGTAAAATATTTTTTCAAGAAATATTTTTCTTTTAACATACTTCACGATAATGAACCTTTAGAGTTGAGTAATAAATTATACAAGCTTGTGCTTAAAAACGATAAAGTTATAAAACTAAGAAAGTTTGATTTATTTTTGTAACTATAGAGTTTGAATGAGTACTTTGTCAAGTCGATCTCAAATTCAGCTTGAATAGTTTGATTTCTTTTGCAATTCTAACATTAAAAAAAAAAAAAAAAAGTGGATTTAAGTCTCAATGACTAGTTTTCTCAATTATAATACAAGGAAGGAAAATTGTTTTTTTTTTTAAAAAAAAGTTGTACTTGAATGAACCATTCATAACCTTTAAACATGTCCATTAATAAAATTATCATGAACTCACTATACGTGTGTTTAGTACATGGATGGTTTTTTTTCCCCGGCATGGGATAATGTGTTTAGTTTACAAGATTTTTTTTGTTTTTTTTTAAGAGTATTCTTTCATTAATTTTCATGTATGAAATTAAGTTCGTCTCCTTGGTCCGATTAAAAACACACCATGCGTGTGGAATCTAGATGATTCACAAAGATGTTACTTTTCATAATATAACTTTAAATTTGAACCGTAATACAATAAAAGTCAATCTCCTCAAAATTACATGATCAATTTTTTTTTTTTTTACATATATATTTTAAACAATGTAACCCGCATTGATTGTTACTCTTATTTTTATACCATACATTGATGATCAATCAAGTGTAGTTTCACAATAGGAGTTAAAATATGTATCCTTACATCATACATTTATTATTTTTTTATCATTTGTTTCTTTATTTCTAACTATAACAGCCAATTGCATATTGACTCATTTATTTGTTTTGTTAATATTTCTCTCAAAGATATTAAAAAATTTACTTTAAACAATAGCCAAAAATTTTTTTCTCAAAATGCATTTAGCGACTTCAAACATTTTTTATGATGTCATCATCAAACATATTATTCGGTTTAGATATCGTATATGGTCGATTTTTATTAAATTAATTAAGTAATTTAGTTAATTTTTATTATATATACGCATAAGGGTCCAAATTGCATAACAAATTGATTGAATTAGAGACGAGACCTAACTCAACATAAGGTTTTGCATCACAAATATGAACACAAGTATTTTAACGAGTGTCGGTGTCTATGTCATTTTTTTTTTTTAGATGCATTAAGGAGATTAGTTTGGTAGACTCAAAGTAGGGTTTTCTAAAAATAAGATTCAATTGTTAATTTTTTTTTTAATATCGTTAACTAGCAAATTGAAGCAATTTAGTTTAAAAAACATAAATACTTTAAACTAAATCTAATCGTCCAAATTTAGTTGACGTGACATATTTTAATGGTCAAAGATCATTTTCTTTCGCTAAAAATATCAATATAATATTATCATAAAGGGATCAAAACTTTTGATCTTTAGCAAAACAAAACTTTTATGAACTCTCTATATTAGAACTTATCCACTCAATCTTAAAGTTCTTATACTCGTATATCAAATGACATCTAAAATTATATTTTTTTCTCATATATTGTCTGTCGCTATTTGTATTTTATTTATTTTATTAATTGATATTTATTTTTATAATTCATAACACTATTTTTTTTTAATTATTTATGCTCTTTTTGTTTGGTTGATTGATAGTTATTTTTTCAACTCTTTCGAATACGATTAAAAGGTAAAATTGTTGACTTGACATGATTCGAACCCATGCATGGACACTGAACCCTCCGTCCAAAATTGAGCAAAGCCCAAAACACCTTTGCCTCAGAACGGTTTAGCCTTTCTCGTTACGTAAAGGTCAAAAACTAGAAACCTAAACAAACCCAAACAAACTCTTCTCATCTCTTCACAAATAAACACCAAACAAACACGCCCTCCAAACCTCAAAACCCTTCTTCTCTCTGCTTCTCTCTTTGAGAAAACCAAACTAACCCTCCTTCTCTCTCTCTCTCTCTCTCTCCCCCCATGGAAGACGACGACGAATTTGGAGATCTCTACACTGACGTCTTACTTCCATTCTCTTCATCCTTATCCTCTACTCCGCAACCACCACAACCTCTCTCTGCACCGTCTTCTCTCCACCGTCCCATCGATCTCAACGACGCTAGCAAAGAAGAAGATGACGAGATCCTCCACGGTGTTTCCCACAGTAATCCTCCTGCTCCTGCTCCTTCTAATCAAAATTCAATCCAAATCACTGCTTATTCAGCTCCTCAAGTTAGGGTTTTGGGAGATGCAAAATCGCCGATTAAAGATTCGATTGACGAGGACAAAGAGGTCAATTTTGATATCGAGGAGGAAAATACTGGGATTCTCGAAGATTCGGGGCCTATTATACCTGGATTGATGGAAGATGATTCTGGAAAGATTGAAGCTTCGGCCGAGGTCAGCGGCGGCGGCGGAGATTGGGAGGAGGAGGATAGTGATAGCGAGGATGATTTGCAAATAGTGTTGAATGATAATAGTCATCCTGGTGGGCCTATGGGGATTGATAGAGAGATTGGTGATGACGACGACGACGAAGATGGGGATCCGCTCGTGATTGTTGCTGATGAGGATGCACCGAATCAAGCTACTGAGGAGCAGGATTGGGGTGGCGGCGAGGACGGGGTTGCGGCTGCAGGAGGTGGAGCAGAAGGGGAGAGGAAGGAAGGAGGAGAGGCGGCAGGGAAAGGGAATGCAGTGGTGGGACCAAAGGTTGGGTATAGCAATCATGGGTATCATCATCATCCGTTTCATTCTCAGTTTAAGGTCAGTGTTGTAGTTGTTGATGTTATATGTTGAGCTTTAAAAGAAAGAAAGAAAAGCTAGATAGGGCTTTTGTAACTCTTGTACATATGATATGAATGGGTTTTATAGTTCTTTTTCTTATAAATGTATGATTCGTTGAAAAAGTTGAATGAGAATTCTTGAATTACTTGATTATGCTTATGAATTTTATATGCTTTTTTCTTTTTCTTTTTCGGCTGGCTAGATGCATTATCTGGCTTCAAGGTTCAAAATTTCCTAAATATTGCGAGCCGTCAAGTAAAGTATTTAATTGGTTTGCACAATTTCATTCAACCCAACTGTTCCTATTTCTCATCCGAGTTTTGGTGTCAGGACAGCATACACTTGAGAAGAATTGTGCAGTTGATTGTTAAACCTGGTTCTCTTGTGGGTGAAACAGCTCTTGTTAGATTCCTAGATGTAATTCATATAAAAATCTGTCAAGCTTTTCTAATTGTACTTGCTCCTCCTTGGATGCTCCTGCAATGGCATTATTACCTGGGAACAGATGCAATGGACAATGATGCTAGCACAAAGATTACATCTTGCTGACATTTTTGGGATGCCAACAAACTTTGGCATTGGTTCCTCCTAGATTTCATGATTGTCAGTTTACCTTTCCTATACTTGCCAAGCTTTTGGTTGCGATGGGCTCTTTTGCTGTACAATGTCAGAATGCCCTGAAGCCAGCAATTTTCCCCTGTGGGTCACAATAACAATCTCTGGCCTTTTTGATTATCAGTTAAAAAGTGGTCGACTTTGTAAGGATGAAAATGATGATCAAGATATATTTTTTGTTGACGCATGAAGAGCTGTTATAGCTAAGCATGTCTCTCAATGCTCAAATGTGTCAATTAAGTTCGCAGTTGTAATCTTTATCTAGGTTGATCTATTTCATGTGGATAATAGGGGTAATGCTGTGGTAGGAACAGTCGAGAAGGTAAGTAATTGCTGCAGAAACTTAATAAATTTTGCACCATTTGGTTATGGCCAAGAAGATGTGCGTATAATTTTGCAAACAAATGGTGTGCAGCCTTACATCTTGCTAGTCCTCACAAAAATCTAAGTGAAAAACATTTTTCAACGTAAATTAGAGGTTAGTTTTATTTGATGTAGGAAATGCTTATATTTCCTACAATGACATTGGAAATGCTTATATTTCTCCTCGTATCATTTGCTTCACATAGGCGTGAGCCATAAGCCATACTGAGCTAAACTCATAGATTCTTCTTTGTCCATTGAATTGTCTAACTTAAAATCAACAATTTAATACCACCAACGTATGTTAACTTTTTGGATTTGGAATCCATATGTTTGAGGTGCCTTTCTGTTGAACCTGCTTTGTAATTGATTTTTTGGTTGAAAACTTATAATAGCTCCAGTGGTCAAATTTGATGTGTGGTTTCTTGCGTGGTCTATTTGGAACTGTCCTCACTGTCTTTGCTCTTACTGTTCACTTCCTCCTCTGATTCCCAGCTATAAAGGCGCTTCCCATGCGTTGAGTTTCACCATCTTGCCTCTCTTTGTGCAAATCTTTTTATTTTCTAGCAAAGGGAGCATATCATATGGCAAACTATAGTTAATTTGTTGTGACAGATACTATTCTCAGGCTTGAATTTCTGAACTAACTCTATGAGATTGCCTGCTTAGCCTCAGGATTTTGCTGTTCCTTGGGAGCAGTATGTGTTCTTACGTGCCATAGAAAAGGTTAAACATATTCTAAAGTTGAATGGGTTGACCTTTTCAAACATTTTGATTTGGGTCAATTCATATGTTTGTTGCTAGCATGATGATGTTGACCTTAATTTTGATAAGGTTTATGTTCATGAATTGGAAGGTTGATTTTGATGAGCCATGCTTAAATTTTGCCAGCTTGTAGTTTTTTCTGTGCAAATAACAATCATTGTTGAGAAGTTAATTGTGTATGAAAAGTTTTCTTCACCTGCAATTGTTCAGCGCCTTTGGTTACTTTTGTTTTTAATTTGGTGGGTTTGCCAATTTTTTTCATTTCATTTCCCTGTTAACATTATGGCTTATTTTCTGTTGGCATGCAGTATGTAAGACCTGGTGCAGCATCGATGCCTGCAGCTACTGCTGTTGGTCCTGGAGGAACTCCAGGTCAAGTTCGTCCTCCTATGAACATAGGTACTATAGCTGGTCGTGGTAGAGGTGACTGGCGACCAGTAGGAATGAAAGGCGGCCCTCAAAAGAACTTTCATCCAGGATTTGGAGGGCCTGCTTGGGGTGCAGGGCGAGGTTTTGGTGGTGGACTGGAATTCACACTTCCTTCTCACAAGTAATTTTCACTAAATTCATAAGCTGGTTTCTTTTTCCACTGAGTTTCATTACATTGTTTAGTTTTTATCAATTATCTTGCATTAGTTTGTTTGCTAAATATTTGCATCATTTGCTGGATTTTACAATTTCAGTACTGGTTGTATTAATCAAAGGTCTGTATGATATTGTATAATAGTCATTGACATTACGTGTGTGCGCGTGTGTTTGAGGCTCCAAGCATCTGAACTTGACTTAGGCAGATGTGTATATATATATATATATATATATATATGAATATGATTTCCGTTAAGTTGAATTTAATTTCTAAACTATACCGGGTGTTCAAAAGCTCTGCAGTACCTTCCTAGGGTTTCACTCTTTTTCTTACAATCTCTATTGCCAGCATCTTTCATAACACATGCAATGCTACGGACCTATGGCCAAAAGAAAAGCACTGAGCCAAGAAACATTTTTGCTCTCTCTCTCTGAGGGTATCAATTGTTTCATCTTCTCATCTCTCTCTCTCTCTCTCTCTCTCTGTGTTTCGAAATTCTATTTCTTCTCTAATTGTTATATTAGGATAAGCATCTATATGTGCTGTTGCTTCATTGTCTGTTACCATGCTTCGTTGGGTGTTCTGGCTCACTATTTGCTAGAGAGGCTCAAAATCTCACGTTACAAGAGTAACAAATGACAACTTTGTCAACAACAGATCAAAATCTTCCATCTTTACATGATTTTGTTTCAGTGATATGTAGGGTCACACCATCTTTAATTTTCTTGAATCATCTTCTTGCTATAGATTCTTCCTTAGGCTTGGATTACATATATGTGTTCTTAAAGCCTTTGCAAAAGAAAGAGTAGTTTAGATGATTGATTTTAAAATCTTTTCCTTTTTCATAAGTTTGTTAAATCAGGTGAGATGGAGCAAGTTCTAAGGCATTCCTGCATTAAATGAAAGTATGAGGCAGATTTAGGGTTCTCATATGATACCTGTCATGGGTTTGTGAATGGCATCAGCCATCGAATTCGATTTTAGGAGGGCTTCTCCTTTCCAAGACAGCCTGTTGTTTTTCTACACGATCTCTTTTGGATTAAGTATGATCCAGTTACTTCTCAAATATGGTGGAAATTTACTTAACATTCACCTATTATGGAACCGATCATTTTCAAACTGATTAATGCACTGTCTCATAGAACCTTGTGAACTATGAAACACTTTTTGGGAATTCTGTACCCTAATGTGTATGAAATAGGATTTCAAATTAGCTCTTTTTGCAGGAGAAGCAGAACCTGTTGAGATGGTAAAAAATTTAGGTGTTGTTTCCTTAACCTAAAAGGCTGTTGACGTTGCCCTGGCAAAAAATAAAAAATTAATTATGTGAATAAAAGCAATTTCTGTTAGCATGGCTCCATTAAGGTTTGCTTATATGAGTCCTTTTCCTACATTTATCCTTTGTGCGGAATACCATTAGCTGCAAAAGATATTAATTTTGAATTTGTACTTTGGTTAATCCAGATTTGCTAATTAGATAGATTCATTAATTGGATGCTGCTTGGAAATGGAAATATCTGTGCCCCAACCCTTTGAGACTTGACATCTTCTAATTGCCATTTGTGGATGTACTGTACCACCTGTCCTTCTACTGCGGCAAGCTGTTGGCTTTGTTTATGATCACATAATTTCTATATGGAATAACCACTACACAATCATCCTGCTTTTCAATCTTCACCTAATATACTGCTAAAATTCCAGGTCTTGTCATTGCTGATGTCTGTTTTAGTGAGTTGAAATCCACCATACTTGTTAGCTGATTCCCAAGATATACTTTTGTGTTTGCATGTCACTGCAATCCTGTTGTTTGGTGTTTAATTTGTGAACTCTCCATTTTAAGTATGCTACTACCATGCATTCTCCAATTGAAGTATAGCGTTCGTCCCGACTCCTGATAATGATTATCCATTCTCAATGTTATTTTCAGGACAATATTTGAAGTTGACATTGATGGCTTTGAGGAAAAGCCATGGAAATATCCGGGTGTGGATATATCAGACTACTTCAACTTTGGTTTGAATGAGGAAAGCTGGAAAGATTATTGCAAACAGCTGGTAAATATCAAATTTTGAAGACATTAAATCGTTTCGTTTTTGAATCTCTATATGTGCAATTCTGCCAGCACCAGAAGAAGTTTTTGTATCTATTAGATAAATAATATGTAAGAGGATCTGATTTGAATTGTGCAGGAACAATACCGACTGGAGACTACAATGCAAAGCAAAATTCGTGTTTATGAAAGTGGGCGGGCAGAGCAGGTAATTCTATGCTTAGGCATCATGTGGTTATATGTGTGCTTCAGCCTATCGATATTTATGCATGTAAAATGAATCGTACGTTTTGGTTTTTACTTGGTGAAGAGGAAAGTTTCTGATTTTCTGTTGCTTTCACTTTAGGAGTATGATCCTGATTTGCCGCCAGAATTAGCAGCAGCAACAGGTTTCCATGATGCTTCAGCTAACAATTCAAATGCTGGAAAGTCAGACGTTGGACAGAGTGATTTGACTAAAGGATCTACTCGTTTGCGGTCACAAATTGTATGCTTTGAGACTTCTCCTCTCTTCTTCCACATATTTAGCATAAAAAATTGACTAATTATTTTTCATTACCAGAGACGAAATTCTGTGACTTTGACAAGGCTCTATAATTCAACCATTGCCTGCAACTTAAATGCATCTGTTCTTGTTGCATGGCCAGGAATTTATTGATCTTTTGTTTGTTTAAATGATTTGGTTCTTCTGTATTGTCCAAATTGATCAAACATAGTTTTTCTATTGTTCCCAGTGGGACACTCCAGCTGTTAAGACTGGGTTTTTCACTAGGAAGTCTCAGGTTCAAACCTTGGGAGGGGTGGGGCTAATCTTATTGTGTAGTCCAAGGTCCATTGGCCTCCCATTGAACCAAGAAAACATTGTTTTCTATAAAAATGTTTTAAAGATATGAAGTACTCTAGATCTATGATTGGTTCCATATTTCTTTGAGGACTCAATGGTTTACTTTATTTGCTTTTAGCCAACTGGAAGAGCAATACAAGTTGAAACTGGTTATGGTGAACGCATTCCCTCCATTGAAGGTCGAGCTCCTCGACTTCGTGATTCTGATGCAATCATAGAGGTAAGTAAACATTTCTGTCTTTAATTGCACTGATATAAACTTATTTATTTGATTGATATCTGCGTAGTACATATGCAGTGTCGATTAACTGAGTTTCTTTGATGAACAGATTATCTGCCAGGACTCTCTAGATGATTCCTCCACTGGAGATGGTCTCCAGGATGGAGCAAACAATGATCCTCAAAGAGATGACTTTAAAGGAAGTGATGTAGCTGAAGATGACATGGCTCAGACAGAAAATGAATCTGCTGGTGATTTTCCGCAGGCATACAATGGTCAAAAGGGTGGGAGGAGAACACCTTACATGAATACTGCCCGCAACATGCCTGAAGGAGATGGGGTTTTGCCCTTCCATCCTGAAGCATCAGCTCCATACCGCCATACTGGTTCCAGGGGTCACCCTCCTTCGTACTCTGGTAGGGACTTTGGCACCACTCATGAGGAAAGGTATGAAATAAGGTTATACCATCTTCTTTTACTCTATTATGGCAATACAGTATAGGTTCAAGAAATATGCATTTGTTTGTTCTGTGATGGGTTTGGGTTTGTTAAATTGGGAATCTAGGGTTTTAGATTGATGTGGAATGTATAAATTGTTTAGGGTTTGCAAATGGTTGGAGAACAATCAAGTTTGGTGGCCAAATGTTGACAAATTGAAAAAAATAAGCTGCGGGTGTTTTGGTATGGTGGCTAAATGGTAGAGATTTAGGGCTTTTTTTGAGTGGTTTAATGGGTACTTAGTTAAGAAAGAGTTGGGTAAAAAAAGTGAGAATTAGGGTTGTACTGGCATAATGATTGATAGAGTGGCTATATGAGGAAACTTGGGGGCTGTAGAATAATCGCGGTAGTGGCAGAGTTTAGGGAAGAAGAATAAGTTTTCAGAACAAAAGGAGAGAAATCTCGTAGGAATGATTGCCTTCAATTAACCAGATACTCACGATCCATCTTTTGCTGTATGTATTCAATTTAGATAGAGCAAATATGCCGGCATTTGGTAATTTTGTGAATTTTTTCCGTCTTTTCGTATTTTGGATATCAAGAGATAGGCATGTGAACATTTGTGAGCATCTTAAAGAGATGATAATTTTAATGAGCACCTTGTAGGAGGAGATTCTAGAGAATGTTCTTAGATTCCTATAAATAACAAATCCTCCAATCGGAGGTCCCTATGTGTATATCACGTTTCTTTTCATGAGCGGTAGTGGTAGTATATGCAATTTGGCCACCTTTCGTATTTGCAGAAGCATGGTCGGAGGATGGCTAAATACCCCAAAAGCACCCTGAAATTTTGGTCAAACTGAGATAAGCCTCTAACCTTTAAAATTTTTAATTTTACTACAGTGGACTATTTTTGGTTAAAAATAGGCCCCTACAATAATTTTGACCGCATGTGAGATCACATGATGATCTAAAAAGGTGACACATGTCCTGGAGACACCCCAGTCACGTGATTTCTCAATTAAAATTAATTTTTTTTTAAAAAAGAAATTTCCTATTTAATTATGATAATAATTATAATATTTGGCAAGGTAGAATTCCTCAGCCCCATGTTTGATATTTGTCTTGAGCTAGATGAAAATTAAGCAAAAAGAAGAAATCACAGAAAGAAAAAATCTCATTAGACTGGTGGGAGGAGGATCAAGGTCTCTCTTTATGTAACATGGCTTTACTCTTAACATATGATCTTGCTTCAATATGTAATATATATCAACTGGTTGAATATTATAACCCAAGCAAATTAATCAACATGCTTCTCAACATTCTTCACCACTGTTTTTGCCTTCAATTTTTACTGCCATTGAAAAGAGGGGAGCTCCACCTTTGTTATTTCAATTCCCAACTGACCCATTTAGATTTTTGTGTCAACCATCACAAACAACCATAAACAGCTATCATAGATACTCAATTCTTCATAAATGCAAACAAGAATGGAAATTCGAAATACAGATCTGTTACCCACCTAAAAAAAATTTTAAATCCAGATCTCTCAAGTCTTCCAAAATAGAGGGCATGCCTTGAGGGAGTGGGAGTGATGGTTCTTGTTCTAGTATAGCAGTGGCATGGCATCTGGTGATAGAAGTGGCAATGGTTGAATCAGTTCCGTGACTTGGTGAGATGAAAAGATGAATGATTCTACTCTTTTGTGGTTACTTGGCTTTGCCTTTTGTCAATGATTTTGGTGGTACTTTTATGGATTGATGGATTAGCTTTGGTGGTGGTGGAGGGTTTGGTAGCTCGGTGGTGGTAGATGATGAGCAGTTTTCACGTTTCAGAGAGGATAGAATTAAAAATTTAATGTCTTTTGAGTCTTTTCTTTCCTTTTAATTTCTTTTGAATTTTTCTTTCTTCTTCTTCTTCTTTTTTTTATTCCTTTTCAATTTATTTTTTAGACAAAGAATGCATGTGATTCTTAGGTGTCTTCAGGACACATCTCACTTTTTAGATCATCATGTGACCTCGCATGCAGTTAAATTTAACGGATGGGTCTGTTTTTTTACCAAAAAATAGTTCATGGTGGTCAAATTAAAAAATTTAAAGGTTAGGGGCTTATCCTAGTTTGACCGAAAGTTCAGGGTGTTTTTGGGTCATTTAGATTACCAGGATTCCAAAAATTCATGAAAATAGTGAATTACGAATCAGATGTAGACGGAGCCATTTCTATGGTCATAATGACACTGTTGATGTGATACTGCTGTTTATAGTCATTTACTTGTCGCTCAGAAAACTCACATTTGTCTGCCCCTGAATTTGGAGTGCTTAATGGACCATGGATACTTTTGTCTTTAACATATTTGGTTATAAATTTTGATGAGATGGTTCTTTTGTTTATTGGAGTATTTATTTTAAGTTGTAAATCTTGAGTGTTAGCGGGCCATAGACTGACTTAATGCCATTGTGAATGCTTTATGGATCAAGAATTTTGTTACTCACAGTTTTCTTTTAGTTCTGATGTTGGTTTAGTTTTCACTTGTTGAAAATGCACCTGAACTACTGAAAGAATTCTAACTCTTTCCTCTTCTTCACAGGTTGATCCAGGGAAGATCGCGTGACAGATCACCTCATTTAACTCCTAGTCGAAGCTCAAGGGACAAGAAATTTCTTGATAACATGGAGGAAGAATCAACTGAAAGTATGGACGGTAAACACAGTCCACGGAGATCATCACCCAAAAATGTTCCGGATGCAAGAGAGTTGAGTTCTGAGGAAAAAGATGATGTTGACCTTTTGCAAGCTGAAGGAAGCTCTAGATTGGGAAGGGATGGAATGACAGAGAATGAAGAAACCACAAATGATACTCCCAAGGATGGAGATGTGCACCATTCTGCAAGGAAACAAAAAGTAAGTTCTCATCTCGAACAGCCTGCATTGCAGCAGCTTGATGATGAGGAAGACTCAAAGGCTGCAAGAAGCAGTGAAAATAGCAAAGCAAGATCAGGCAGTAGCAAAGATTATCAGAAATGGCAAGATGGTGTTGAGGAGGAAGTTGTTCAAGATGGACGTTCTAGACGTTCAGGGAGCATCAGAAGGCACCTTGATGAAAATGAACAGAATTTTCGAAGAAAGGATCGTGATTTGAGACAAGAGATGGAAAGAAGTCGTGTCGTCGCAAGAGGGAGGGAGGATTCTTATCCTCAAAGAGACTTGGATCTTAGCTTGCCCCATCATTTGCACATGAAACATGAGGGGTATGATAGGCGAAAGGAGCGCGAAAATCCTGATATCTCTTGGCAACAGAGAGATGAAGATCCATATGGCAGAAAACATAGAACTGAAGACAGGAAGAGGGAACGTGAAGATGAAATGGGATCCAGGAACCGGAGTAAGGTTCGGGAGACTGAGAGGAGTGACAAAGATGAGCATCTTCATTCAAGAAAACAGTTAGAAAATGGAAGCTACAGGATTCATCATGACAAGGATGGTAGTTCACGGCACAGGGACAGAGATGACAGTATGAAGAGTAGGTTTGAAATGGTAGATGACTACCATAGCAAAAGGAGGAAAGATGAGGAATATTTAAAAAGAGAATATGCTGATAAGGAGGAGATCCTGCATGGCCACAGAGAAAATACCAGTCGCCGAAGGCGCGAAAGAGGTGATCAGCAAAGGATTAGAGACAATCTTGATGATTATCACTCTTTTAGGCATAAAGATGAGGTCTGGCTCCAAAGAGAGAGGGGTGAGAGGCAGAGGGAGAGGGAGGAGTTGTATAGGCTAAAACAACCCAATGAAGAAAATTTACCAAAACGGGAGAGAGAAGAAGGACGGGCATCTGCGAGGAGCGGGCGTGGTGTGGACGACAAAGCATGGGCTGGGCATGCCAGGGGGAAAGATGAATATAAAGTTTCTGATAAAGACTACCAACTTAAAGATCCAGTTCGAAACAGTGAAAACCAGAAAAGAAGGGAGCGAATGGAGGATGAAAGTCTTTCACATCATAGGGGACGTGATGATGTTTATGCACGAGGAAATCAGTTTAGTAATGAGGAGAGAAGATCCAGGCAGGAAAGGTCAAGCACTCGCATTGATCGCACGATGGATACTTTTGATAACCAAAGGGTGCATGAGAAGAGGCATAAAGAAAACACAAGGAAAAACAAAGAATACGATGGTGGAGATCATGGCACTTTGGGCCCTTCCAGAAGAAACCAAGAAGAGCAGAGTGGTCACAGTGATGAAATGGTATTTTCCATGCTTAGCTCTAATTGAAATGGAGGAGTAGGAGATAGGGATATCCTCCTTAAGAAGGCAGATCATTGATAAATGAAGTAATAAATAAAAATGTCTTTGATAGAAGAAAATTGTAATAGGTAAAATTAAAACAGCTCAAAAAAACAAGGAGGATACGGCATCCTCCTAATGACGAAATTGAGCTAACAGAAGGCAACTAGGACCTATCCAAACAGAAGTACCTCCCAAAAGCCCTGAAAGAAGATATTGCACGACAGCTATAGATTCCAATTCTCTAGTCTGCTTTATCTCCAACTGCCAAACTACTCACACAATGTGTTCTCATCCTCTCATGACCTAAACCCATCAGGTTGATCAGAATGACTCCACTCTTCTCAAAATAATTCAATTCTTTCCTCTGATCAAAATAATTCAATACTCCATCACCACAGAACCATGAACCCTGTAGTCTCTCTGCTGCAGAAGCACATCATACACGCCTAAGTAGATAAAAGTAGTGAGGTCACCTCACTTGAATTAAGTCTGATAAAATGCAAACTCATATTCAACGTAATGCAAAAATCACTTTAAGATATATGTGGTATTGTGTTATACTCTTACTAATGCTTACACATTCATCAGTATTCTACCAATGACGGGTACACTGGAGATCTAGGTACTTGGGCAGGCAGTGCTGCAAATTCTCAGGGCAGTGCTTAGGCAATGTCTAGCTGTTTTGATTGTTAAGATTCCTTGAAATTAGTTCACAGTGGTGGGCTAGATTCTGATTTTTCTTTATAGAAATCTTTTTGTTGTTAAGATTTCTTGAAATTGTTAACAACAAGGGCTTGGTTGCTTAGATGGGGATTTCATGTTCTTGAAGGAAACTATTTTCGTTATGCTCAGATTTCTTCAAGTTAGGGTAGAGTGATAATTAAACTTGATACATGTACTCTTTCCCTTAGCAACTCATTTGTTTGTCAACTAGTTTGACATTTTGCTGATTAAATTTAGAAAGTGCCTTCAGCTGAGCTGGTGCTGTTAATCTTTTACTTCTGCTAGGTTTTAAAACGTGCTCGTGAGCCAGGAAATGGAGAGGCTGAGATCTTGATGCAACAGAACTCTTCCAAAAGACAAAAGGAAGATGCTTCCTCGGATGAAGAACAACAAGATTCAAGGAGAGGACGTTCAAAATTGGAACGTTGGACAAGCCATAAAGAGAGGGATTACAATATCAGCAAGTCATCAGCTTCCTTAAAATATAAAGAGATTGATAAAAATAACAACGGCAGATCTTTAGAAGGCAGTAAACTTCCTGATGAACCTCCTAAGAAAGTCGAGATTGTTGAGAAGCAGACCAAAGTCGAGTCTGTTGAGAAGCATCCCACGGGGGAAGAGAAAGATGTTGCTGACGTGGAGAATAAGGATACTGATACAAAGCCATCAGAGGACCGGCACTTGGACACAGTTGAGAAGTTGAAGAAGCGGAGTGAGAGGTTCAAGCTTCCAATGCCAAGTGAGAAAGATGCCTTTGCAATAAAAAAGATGGAGAGCGACGCACTGCCCTCTGTCAAACCTGAGGCTCCTGCAGATTCAGAGATTAAACCAGAGCGGCCTCCTCGAAAACGAAGGTGGATCAGCAATTGAAAGGAAAGTCGAGAATACATGTTCAAGGGCATTGCTTTATTGATTTTGAGGGCCTTGTTTAATCACCCTGAAGATCCTGTCATATGCCAGTGATTTAAGATTGCTTCCAGGGACGACCATGTACCTCTGCGACAGTGATAAAATCTTTGTAACCATGTTGTTTCCATACTTAATTTAATATTTATATGTACATACTAATAGATGCAACGTTGAACTGGTCACTGATGCTGGCCCGAATTACATTTTAGTGCCAATTTGAACTGCATTACTCCGATTTAATATGCGGCGGCGTGAGGGTCAAATACAAGACCCACAAATGCTGTTAGAAGGATGGCCGTTGTGGAAGTCGTTGCCCGTGAGATGAGGCACTAGTTCAATGTTGGGCATCTCCTAGATGTGTCTTTGGGGTTGAAAGAAATCTGCAGGGAGCAACACTTTTGTATGCTGGTAGAAATTTTCATTAAGCTAGATGCGGACTAGTGATAATACAATAATCTGTATTTATCATTCCTTCCCTTTTTATTTGGATAGGAAGCGGGAAACAGATATGATCAAAAATCTGTTGTTGTATTATAGGAATGAGTTATAGGAAATGATCAAAGGAGTAGTGGATGTTTTCTACCTTCTATTTTATGATGAGTGTTTTTTTTTCCCCCTATACAAGCCCTACTAATAAGTTATTCTTGCCTGAATCGCTGTGGCTAAGCACGATATGAATAGCTACTTGAGGGAATTTAGTTTATTTATTCCCAAACTGATGACAGTAGTTATGTTTGTTATGGTCAGAGACTAAGACTAATTGTAATTTGCCTGTGTTTTTCAACATTTTAGATTCCACAAGCTTCTTTCTTGATAAAGTTGGCCTTGTTTTGCCTAAAAATCCTATGCCAATATGGGTTTTCATTCAATTTCCTTAATAGTGTTGGAATGTCATTCTCCTTATTTTGCATAGGAAAGCAGTTCTCCATTTGATCTGAAAACTTAGATCCTTAAGCACACCACAAACACAATATTTCACATTCTCAATAATTTGAATTTCCTCAACTACCAAGGATCTGTTTGGATTAGAGGTCAGATTGTGGCTGTAATTATAACTGTAATGGTGGTGAGTGATAAAGGCAAAATGTTTTTTCTGTTAAACTTATTGTTGACAATTGACTGGTCAAGATTCTAAAGCTGTTGGATTTACAGTTGAAAGTTTTTGCAAAATTCTAAACAAAAACACTGGGTTTCAATTTTTGAGCCTCAATATCGCTTCGGAAACCTCCCCCTCTCGGATGGTTCTTGACAATGTTCCATGCATGAGAAATGCCCAACAAATCTTGCGACATGTAAATGTCTCTGTTCATGATGGTGGGACTCTTGTATTGACAAGCAGCAACCGTTCGGACAAGAACACTTTCTTATGAATGTTAGCTGGTTTTGTTAAGCCTTCGACGGGTTAGATATTTTGGACTGGTCATGATGTGACTAAATCTGGAGTGTTCCATCAGTACAAGCTTCAGCTCAACTAGCTCTCCTCGAAAGATGTCGTCAAAGAAAAGTTTACTGCACTCGACAATGTTTAGTGGTTTAAGCTTCTTGAAGGCAAGCAAGGTTCTATGCCTGCTCTTAAGCTGATGGGACTTGAAAGATTACCAAAAGAGAAGGCAAGAATATGTTGTTAATGGGCCGCAGAAAAGGCTGCAGCTTGCGAGGTTGCTGGCAATTGATAGGCCAATTTGGTTGCTGGATTAGCCTTCTGTTGCAGTGGATGATGATGGGGTAAGGTTGCTTGAATACATTATTGCAGAGAACAGAAAGAGAAAGAAGAGAGTGATTGTGTTGGTTGCGAGACATCTCGTGAAACAGAAGACATATTTCTATTGTGCATAGATTTTTCCATTACAGGCCGAACTAGTTGTCATTATTCAACTAGTTGAGCTTCTGGTGAGGTATTCCAAAGATTGATCTGTTACCTAGTGAAGGCTTTTGTTTGAAAACAAAGGTTATTCTAAATATTTCTTTCTGTCTTTCCTTTTCTTTTTTCCTCTGTAATTTTAGAACCGTAAGGAGAAATAAAGAACGACGAGTTACACTACCGGTAGATTCTGAAGGTTTGTTTAATTAGATCATTACACCACCAAGAATTTATTTTCAATCTAAAAGGTGAAAAAAAAATCAAAAAAGAAAGGAAACATAAGGGCAAAAACACATATAGAGAAAAAGGACCTCGATGGAATACTCTTGTCAAATTTTCAATACCAAGATCAGTCGGCTCGTGGCTGCATAATTTCTCAAAGGATGAGGATTTTCATTGTTCTGTCTTCTTGTATGATCAAATTGTAATGCCCACCTCCTACCAACAATTTTTTTTTTTAAAAAAGGTCCTGATGGTTTTTCTAACACCAGACTAGTCAGATATAGAAAGGTCTATTATTTGAAGAATAGAAGTTCGACAGTGGGGAATCCCATCAGCATTTTGTTCGCCCAGGAAAACAAAAAACAAAAACATGTAACTTCCGGCGAACTCGAGTCACCGAATCTTTTTCGAAAAATTAAAGGTTAAGTATCAGATCTCTAGAAATTGAATTTCGATATTATTCTTTTTCCTAAACACCTCTAAATGACCGAAATAAAATCAATAAACATATCTAAAATCTTAAAAATCATTTTAATGTATACTAAAATAAAAGAAAAATACACAATTAAATCGAAACTTTTTCCTTTTTTGGCTCCGATCTACCTCCTCTAATTGTTTAATGACTTAAAACCACCATGGACAAACTCACATCTCAAAGATAAAAAAATCTAATAGATTTTCACCGATCGGCGATCCTAAATAAGCTTGGCCGGCGATCTCTCTCTCATCCTGTCTTTCTCTTCCTCCCTCCCTTCTCTCTATACCCGGGGACCAAAACGGATTAGCAAATGAAGATGTAAATCAAAATATTCGTTCGAAAATATCGGAGACCAAAATGTGAAAAAACCGTATAATTTTCACCCACCAAAATCTAAAAAATTACAAAAAAGTCATCCACGAGTACATCGAGTCTTAAACTACGGTAAATGAATAGTGAAATGTTCACTTCTTTTAGTTATATAAAATTTGATGTGTAAATAAGAAAGTTTTGAAAGATAAATCGGAGAGTATTCGGATGTTTGTTCGTTAAGGATCAAAAAGTTAGAATTTCCTTTATCATGATATGAAACCGAGTATTTATAATGAAATGAGAATGACCCTTAATCGTTGAAATCGTAACACATCATCCATTTGAACAATTATATTTGAGTTGATAAAAATTTTATTTTTTTGAACTAAATTGTTTTAATTTGCTAGCAAATACTATAAAAAGTAACAATTGGATATTCCTTTAGCTAGATGGTACTGTACCAATGCTTGCTGTTAGTAGAAGTCTAAGCCTTATGCTCAACACAAGAAGCTTTAACCCTTTGACTCTAAAAGGCCTAAGTCAATGGTTCACTTACACATTTTATTTTAAGTAAAATAAAGATTAAAAAAAAAACTTTCTTTAATAACAAAACTCGAGTTTCCTAATGCGCTTTAAAACCTTTCTTTGGCATCGTGCGCTTTAAAACCTTATGAGATTCATCTTTAATCCAATCCATATGCTATGTGGCTTCGAACCATGTTAAAACCAAGAAAAATAACATAAATGAATACCTAATAAAATTAGTTAAATTACTTAATTATTTAAAAAAAAAATTGAGCATATACATTTAGCTTCTTGCACGTATAGTCTTGCCAATAAAGGTGGTTAATGTAGCAAAAAAAAAAAAAAAAAAATCTTATGCATTTTCACTCTTTTGAAAACTCTAAGGTGTTGTTTGGTTATCAAAAATAGAAGGTTTGTAATTGAAATATAAGAATTAGAATAAAAATTAAGAAATTAAAATGACATTTGTATTCTCATATAGTGTTTGGAATTATAATAAGAAATCAAATAAAATTTAAAATTTTTAATATCTAGTTTTTAAGAAGAATAAGAATAATGATTAAAAAAACAATTTCATCAACTATGATAATAGTAAAAACGATAGAAATAGTTGTGGTGGTGGAAAAAGAGGAGAAGAATGAAAAGAAAGTACCAATAATAATAGTATTATAACAATAATATATATATATAAGGTGGCATTGATGGCGAATAATAATAATAATAATAATAATAATAATAATAATAATAATAACAACAACAACAATAATATTTTTTTATCACCAACACCAATGCGGTGAGTGGTGGAAGTGGAGGTGGTGGTTGAAGGAGTTGATACATAATAAATAAAAATAATACTCCTTCCATCCTAAAAAAAATGATCTTATTTAACATTTCACTCATCAATTATTATGTTATATCAACATTTTTTTTCATAATTTTCTAAAATACTCTTTTTGTTAAAATTATTAGTTATCAAATTTAATCTTGCATTGCATAGAACCAATATTAATTTAAATAGAAAATATATCCAAAATTAAGGTGGTAAATGAAAGAAAAAATTATTAAATTAAGTAACGATCAAGTTTAAAATAATTATAAAAAAATAATATTTTACTTTCAAAATTTCGAAAGCAACAAAATCCATTAGAGAATGAATATTTTTCATGTAACAATAAATTTTCTTTAAAATTTTTATGTTAAAAGTATTTGTATGTATAAAGCAAAAAATATAAAGAATATTGATTTTTTTTTTTTAGTGAAGAAGAGGAAATGAAAGAAAGAATTGATTTTTTTTATCAATTAGAAGTATTTTAGAAAAATACATTATTAAAAAATTTTGACCGGGCAAGTATTTGAGACAAATATAAATAAAAAGGGAGGCAATCTTTTTGAAACCGAAGGAATATATCACTATTTTAAGAAAAAATAATTTCATTCCAACCTTTCTATGAAAATGAAATTATATTTAATTTTCATTTCATTTTTACTTTTTATTTCTATTTTTATTTTATTCTTTTCAATTAAACACCTGTAAAATAATAATAATTTTTTTTTCATTTCCGTCATTCTATTGTTACCAAACAACACCTAATTGCTTCCATCGATCGTTCCAAAATTATTTGAAAGATTTCAACTTTTCCACTCAATATATTACATAAAATTATGTTGGTGAAAAATAAATTAAAAAAAAAAAAACTAAAACCCTAATTTAAATACTTCTTATGTGTCAAAGTGATCCTCTCTTTTGACTTTTCATATTGTTTAAGAAACTTATTGATTATACTGTCATATCAATATTTTTTAACAATACTTCATAAAATACTTTTTTTTTAAGGAGAAGATCTATCTAATTTAATCTTACATTACCAAATAATATACTAATAAAAATATTTACTCTCAAAATTTCTGCAATCCTAGAATATTAAAATTTCTGTCATTTTCAAATTTTAGGTCCTTTTTTTTTTGAAAAAAGAACTAAAAATTATTAAACCTACCTAAATTTCTCACAAATTTTAAAAAAATTAACTCAAAATCAATGTGGCAAGTTAAAATTTTCATCCCTTCCAAATTCAAGTTTAAATTTTTTTAAAAAATTTAGAAATCATTAAACCTTTCTAAATTTTCCACAAAATTTTAAGCTAAAAATTAGTTCCAAAATTAAGGCGTCAGATCAACAATTTTTCTTTCACATCCCTTTAAATTCAAAACTTTTGGCGGTATATAAAAGACACTTACCATATCTGTAACTTTTTAACACCTTTACAAACTAAAATACAGATTCTTTACAAATTAGCTAAAAAAAAATCTAGACGAATGAATATTTTTCATGCAACACAAAAATTTTCTTTAAAATTTTGATGTTAAAAGTATTTATATATATATATAGAGAAAATATAGAAAATACTAATTTTTTGTTAGTTAAAAAAAAATATATAAAAAAATTATTTTTTTATTAATTAAGGGTATTTTAGAAAACATAGCATTAAAATTTTTGATCAAATAAATATTTTGAAGCATATATAAATAGAAAATGAAACAAGTTTTTTGGAACAAATAAAAAATAAATATTGATATTTCTAAATAATAAAATTAAAATAATCGTAAAATATTCAAATTCCTAAATAAATAAATAAATATCAATTATTGTGCTTGATTCTAGGAACCCAGCAAGAGATGTCCAGAGGAATTCTAGACCACCCACCAATCACCATGACAGTGACCTTTTTCCAAGACATTTATTAACAATAATGCAACATTGACACCAACATTTTCTCTTTGCTTCTCCAGCCTTTGTATATTTTAACGAAGATTTTTTTTTAGCTTCTCCTTACCATGTACAAGCTTTAGATCTACAAGAAATTATTAGAAGAGAACTGAGATTTGGAGAAATTTGTGTTAGAATGGAAAGGAAGCGATCTTGGGCCTGTACTTTTGTTTTGCAAGTTTCTCTCTTTATTGCCTTCTACCTTGCTCTCAACTTGGGCCAGCCTCAAAGGTCTCTTTATCAAAGCAGAAATGGCACTAGCACACCTCTTGATGTTTACTTTCTTAGTGTTAGAGGAGGGTATAGATCCCTTAAACAGCGAACCTTTCTTCTCAAACAGGTCAAGTTCTGTTCTTTTCTCGTTGAACATTGATGCACTCTTCTTTATATTTAAGAATTTATCATGATTTTTAATTCTTAATTTTACTGATTTAGGTTGTAAATTTATTTACCTTATTTCCCTGTTTTGTTTATGAATGATCTTAGTTTCATGTTTGTGGCTTCGTTTTCCAATTCTTTTGAAAATGAAATTATAGCTTCAACTTTTCAAATTATTTTCTTTTATGGGTTTCTCTACGTTTCCTTCAGTTGTGTTGGCATTACTGGTTTGGTTCTGTTTGTGGTAAAAAGATTTGGGGTGTATCCTTATTTGTTGTGATAGGAAGTACTTAGTGTTTATGCTTTTGAGTTTCCATCCCATTGACTTTACCCAGGTTTACTCAAATCACCAGAGGGTATTTCCATTTGATATTTCATCTGTTGTTCCTAACTTGACTGTATATCCTGCTGTTGATGAAGATGGAGAAAGTGGCTAACATTTACGAAGCAAGGTTTGTGGTCAACATTAGTGAGCTGGGAGAAGATGATCCACTCACACAGAATGTAAGATCTCTTTCTTTTACCTCTTTTTTATTGATTTGTAATATCCTTCTTTGGCCCACAAAACTTTAATCAATACAATTTTTCACTCTAGTCAAATGGATTTTTTGTGACCCAACACTCAGCTCATGCTCATGTGAAAATCAAACTGTTTTGCGAAAAGCTTACTACGGGACTCTTTATAATAGAATATTAGAATAAAGTATAAATACTTCAATACCTTGTTAAAGTGATGGAAATGGTTTCTCCCAAGTTTAGTGCATTTCTTTTAAATGAACAGCTAGCAACAATCCCACAAATATCTTTTGCAGGCAAGCAGGCTCTTCTCATCACAGAAAGTTCCCTGGTATACCGTACAGTTACAATTGGTACCTGATTGCGTGCAGCTTTTTTTATTATCTTAAACTGCATAGATGACAACCTCTTTTAATCTACCTGCTAATCACCGGTAAGCGGTAATGATAAAAAGTAATGCTTGTAGGTACTCTACTAGAGTTTCAAACAGTGGGAAAGTTGGATGCTTCCTGGAGCAGATCAACATCACTCGTGGAAAATTGTTGACGCTTGTTGGTTTGGACACTGGGTCTTTACAGGTATAAACTTGCTTGTATAGTTCACACTATTTGTATTTGATTATGACATAAAGACGTATTGTCTGTCAGCACAATTCTTTGAGATAAATATCCGAGCTTCACAACAATGAAGTTGCTAGTGTCAATTATTGAGTCCACCAGAATATGCACCTCAATGTGCTGTTTGGTTAATATTTTGATAGTTAGATTGTAGTTATTGCCATGTCCTCTTCAATCCCTCATCCCCTTCTTTAGATGCATTAACTGTTATGGTACAAGTTTCTAACAAGTCCAACAAAACCAAGTTGGGATGTTTGCATGGAATTGTCAGTGGACCAATTTGCCTGCGTTTCACCTCATTGGCACATTGCAAAAAATTTGCCGCAGCAACTTGGAGCTGTTTAACTCTGAGCAGTCATATAAAGAGGACATGCAATTTGGATTTCATAAATTTATATACTATTTGAGCTATCTATGAGAAATCCTAGAAGTCTAGCACGTGCTAAAATGTTAGTTTCCCATCACATTTCCTATATGAGGACATCGAAAACTATATCTCTGTATAAGCTGACAGCATTATGTGATTTTATTAGACTAGAAAGTAGTTCATCGTGATTATGTGTCCAGTTCTTTGGATATTTCTAGCCTTATTAGGGACCTGCTTGGTGAATTTTGTAACTAAAGCATTAGTTCGACAGAGGACGTGAAAAACTACATTTGATTACCATTCATTTAAATACGTTTAAAGTGGATTTGACAGCAAATATAGATATTCATTAGCCTTATCTAATGTATCTCATTTTACCTTCGGTAATGAGGTCCACTGCAAGGTTGAGAGTGAAAATGATCAAATTGGGCCATGGGTTATGTAGAGATCTTTTTGCATTTGGATTTGAATCACAAGTAGAGACCTGGTTATCAATTTTATAGACTTGGCATGACATTGTCAGAGAGACTTGCAGCACATTTTTCAGTTAGTCATTAGAGCTCTGCATTTCAACTGCTTTATTTATTTGCTTATTTTGACTGCATACCTTTCATAAGAATTTTCACTTGGATAATTTATCTTCAATGAAAATCTAGAAATATAGTTGATGTTTTTGGAGAAGTACCTTCATAGATTCTTTATTCTTGTTTTACTTGTAGTATTTCCTTACCTCTTCCTGACATTTGCCTATTTTGAAACTTCAAGGATTCAATGCTCACGAGATCGACGAATGGCTTGAAGAATAGTCAGTTAAACTGGCTGACACAAACACTTGAAGAAACCACTGATAACTGGTAAAATCTGTCTGTATCACATTGTTTATTAATAGTTTATCTATCCCCTAAAGCCTTTTCAACTCTAGCACCAGCAGGCTGTAGAAGGGAATAGAATTTTGAAGATTCAGAGGTTGTTCCAAGTTGGATCATTTTAATGTTCATGTTTAAAGCCTTCAGCTGTGATAACTTGTATTATGATTTCAAAAGAAACTGGAATTACTATGATACACAAAAATTTTTCAAAATGAACTGGAATCCTAAGCACCAACAAATCTAGCTCTTCCTTGTTATTAATTCTTTCACACTGTTGCAGGCTCATAATTTCTGGATATCACCCTGTGGTTATTTGTGACAAGGAGCAAGTGGAAGCAAAGCAAATTTATGTGCCTCTACACAATATTTTTATGAAATATGGAGTGGTAAGAAGTGAATGGTCTTCACATTTTGACATCTATGGGGGAATCTCCCATGTTTACAGTTTTAAAATACTGGTACATCAACAGACAATGCTGCTAACACAAATTAAAAGTGTGCCATATTAACTTTGATTTTGTATTTTTTTCCCTTAAGAACAAAATTATGGCAAACTAGATTAAGTCGAATATCAACAACTGTAGTAAAGATTAATAACTTGCCGGTTGTCCATTTATTAAAGTAATTTGTATTTCTTTCTTTTGGTCCCTAGAATGCATACATGAGCAGACAGGGTTGCAATAGTCACCCTGTTCAAGGTGGTGTGGCTTACATAGGCATTGCAGACCCTACTGAGAGTGAACCGTTGAATTCTTTAAATGAAAGATTGGCTTTTCGAAAGTGAGTACCTTCTTCTTGGTATGTTATGCTCTACGTAGCACTCCAATCATGCAAGTTGAGCTTACATTCTTCCATCTTCTTTTCGGCTTCCACAGAGATATGATGGGTGATGGGTTTCTTCTCCACAGAGTTGGCTCCCTCGAGATTGTATGTATTCCCATCTTTTTCGCAGTTGATTAGAGTTCATTTGGAAAAATTTGCTGGTCTTCAATATGAACTAGTCATCATTCTAACATGACGCTATATTGCACACCTACATTCTCCTAAGATGCACTTCTTGAATTTATGATGGACTGATATATATATATATATTGGATATTGAAGTATGCTCTTTTCCTCTCAAGTACATCTGAACTTTTCTTTTTTGCAGACAACCTATTTTGTAAGCTCAGCAGGGGAGATAGTGAACAAAGCTGTAGTCAGACAGCGCGGTAAGGAGGTCATGTAAATTAAGAATTTAGAGGACCAAACTTCATCCGTGTTTGAAGCCTTGGTGCAGTTGCTTCCAACAACTTTTGGCATTTCCTATATCAGCTCTCTATTTACCGATTATTTTACCCTGTAAACATTTCTTTGATTCTAAAATAGCCTCCTCCTTTTGTCCAGTTGTCGATAGGTGATTGTTAAACTGCTTTTACATGTAAATTTGCAATTTATTCCAATCTGTTTTCCTTTGATCTCCGAACCATTATTAAAAATGTTCATCTTGGATTAAACCAAAGGTCCTTAAACCTTTTCTGATTTCTTAGTGCTTTCTTCTTAACTGAAGCCATTGGCTGGTGGGCGGTGGTTGATAACTGAAACTGTGATGTACTTGTCCTTTTAGCGAGTGTTTGCATTGAACTTCCAAGGTTTTACTGTTAATAGTTGAAGAGCTCCCTCTGTTCTTTCTTTTGTATTTATTTATTTATTTTACTTTTTTTTTGTTTTAAATTCATTCTCGATGTGATAGTAGTAAGTAAATTTTGAGTATAATATTGAAATATTTAGTATTTTTTAAAAATAAGAAGAGAATTTTAGTTAAATTTTTAAACTTTTGGATAATATTTATAATTTACTTATTTTGGTTTTATAAATTTCTTAATTTGACTAAAATTTGTAACAAAATTTATATTATAATTTTTTAGTCAAATTAAAAAATTTGTAAAATCATAGCATATTTTTTTGAGGTATTATAAAATTATAAATATCATTCAAAAGTTTAAAATTTTAACTAAAACTCTTTTGACAATTATACTTGAAATTTACCTAGATATTTTGGATTAAAAAATATTTTTAGCTTCATCTTTTCTGTAAGCTTTTTTAATTTTTAATTTTTTTTGAGAGAATGATTGAATATATATATATATATATATATATATCAAAATTCATTTATTTAAATTTGGTAAAAAAAAATTAAGTTGAAAAAAATAGAATAGCAGGATAAAATTAAGACAGAAAAAAAAAAACAAGTTAACATTGTTAGTTTAAAAGTTAATGGAGGGACTAGATTGTGACAAAAATCAAATATGGAGGGATGAAATCAAAACAAAAAAATAAAAATAAATAAAGGAACATGATAAAAAAAAAAAAAAAAGTAGAAGGACTTGTGTAACCATTGACCTTTTATGTTATTATTTAGATCCCAAACTATTATTTTTTAGGCAAATATTATATTTTCTTCATTATCTCTAATTATCAAAATATTAACAATAACGTTTTGATCATAAAAGATAACAAAATAAAAATAATATATATTCAAAAAATTAATGATTTGGAGTTCAAATAATTCCAATTGATGGTATGGATTTTAGGTTATCATTACTTAATAATTCGAAGGTAATTTTTGTGGCTAAGCCTAAAGTCAAATTCTCCCAATTATTTATGTAAGGTTTAATTTATTAATTTTATACAAACATCGGATGTCAAAATAGAGTTTTTTTTAAAGATATATTTATTAATCGACGAAAGATGACGGAATAAAAGGCGAGATCTCAATCCATCGTAAACACGCTTTCTTCGGATGGTTTTCTCACTCACAAAATGGGAGCGATTATTAAGCTAGTAACCCAATCCCGTTTCTAAGCCCATCAATTTTTCCCCGAATTCTGGGCCTGAACCCATATTTACAAACGACAAAAACACCCTTGAGGGTACACCTCCCTCATCCTATATCACCCGGAAAACCGAGGGCAGAACTGGAAGATGAGCAAAGTCAGGCAACTATAAAACTCTAACAAACCCGTTCAGTCAGATTTTGACACTCCGTGGAAAAGAACAAAAGAAAGAGGCTCTATTTGTTTTCCTGCCCCTTCCATTTGAGCCAATGATTTCTTACATTTACCGAAATCAACCATGCGTTTGTTTTTCTTTTCTTTTTTTTTCTTTTCATTTCTTCTCTTCTCTTCTTCTCTCAATAAAATGAGGCTATGATGACGACGATATTCAAATGCTTTCTTTTCCGGGAGTGTCCGATCAGGCAAATGGTGAAAGTGGGTGCCCGTTTTCTTGGCGGGGCAACCCGGATGGTTTGTAAAATTGATCTTTTATGAGTTCTTTTTTCCAGGCAACCGGCTGTTGCAGCCATGGTGGTGTCTCTTTCCCTTTGTCTGATTTTCATATAGTGATTGATCTGAGCCTCACTTCTCTGACCTCTCTGTCTCGTACTGTGTCCCATTTGTTGTTTTGTTTGAGCAATGTTTGACTCTGTTTTTCACTTCGTCTCTCGACTGTGTTTGGATACTGGGGTGAGGAGACAAAAAAAAAAAGGAAAGGGAAAATTACCTGATTTGGATGTTTTATTTTTACTGCCTTCTTTGACTGTGAGTGGTGAATGTTGAGCATCAGGCTTTACCGGAGGAGTGTACTATTTACTTTTTGGCAATCTAGAGATGGGGAGTTGTAGAAAATTGAGATTTGGGATTTGATTAGCTTTGGTTCGTTGTTAATCCAATTTTTAGTGCCGAAATTTTGATAGGATACTCTGATTTAATGGCCTGGAAATGAATCCAATTTTTCCGTTTCTCTAGTTGTTGGGCTAAGAAAGTGCCATTTTGACCGTCACAGTGAGATTATTATTAGTAGTGTTTTGTTTGCACATCTTAAAAGTAGTGGGCCTCAAGGCCTGTCGAGGGTGAGCCTATCCAGGGTGAGTAAATAGTAATTTGGATTGTTTTTCAATTTATACAGTTAGATTTTTTTAAAAAACTACGTGAATTGAAATCTTTTCTTTCAGGCTAGGCCTTTAGAGGAGTTAAATCATATTGACTAAAACATGATCACTTGACGACGATCCAAACATCCCCTACTTAAATTTTCTTTCGAGCCTGTTCGTTCAGATGACCAAAATACCCTACCCTTTAAGACTCCACGGTCCGCTACTCCACTCACGTTACCTCAAGCATACAGTAAAGGGCAAAAGGGGAAAATGGGTTAAACCAGGTCCTATAAATTTCTAGCCAAACCATTGTCCTAGGGTTTGACACTCCCGGAAAGAAAGAACAGAAAGAGGCTTGCTATGGTAGAAAATGACCGTTTCTGCTTATTAAAACCGATGATTTCACATGACCTCTGCCTCCTTTTCCTCTCCATTTCCAAACTACAAAATCTCTCTCTTTCCATTTCTTTGTTTCTTTTCTTTTTCTTCTCAAGTAACTTTAGCAAGCACGCATATATATGATGAGGCTATGGTGATTATGATGATGATGGTAATAATTTCTTTTACAGGAGTGTCCAATCAGACAATGGCGAAAGTGTGCCTGTTTTCTTGGCGGGGTGACCCGGATGGTATGTGAAATGAGCCCATTTTTGGGTCGTTTTGCAGGAAACCGGTTGTTGCAGCCATGGTGGTGTCACTTTCCCTTTGTTTGACAACATATGCGGATCCGAGCCTCCCTTTGTTTATGTCTTCTATTGTGTCACAACTCACACATTTGTTATCCACGGTACCATGTTTGGTTACTGAGAGGAAAAACAAAAGAATAGGATAAGGGATTATAAAGGATTAACTAATGATCCTAAACTGCTAAACAAAATTAAGTGACTAGAAAATGATTCAATTCAAAAGATACCCTTATTTTGATTCAATCCTCGAGCCTTTCTTTTCAACAACTGAACTGAGTCAGTCAATCAGGCCCATAAAACAAAGATCCAAAATACCCTAAGACATTTTTTGAAGTTGTAACCCATCATTCACGGATATCCATCGATTACTATTCCTAATCATGACTATTTATCTATTGTTCATTTTATTTTTATAATTGTTGTGATCGTTTTTTTACCAACATAACTATCATTGGAATAATATTTACTAAGATTGCATTTGTTGTTGTGCCCAATGGTATATTTCATCTTTAACAATTTTTTTTATTTTTATCAATAAAGAATTTAATTGAAATACTATAAAGTTGTAAACGAACATCCATTTCACTTCATATATTATGATGAATTTTTCAACAACCTAAGAGACTTTGAGATTTTTCAAACTGATATTTATTATATTTTCTTTTTTTTATTTTATACTTAACAAAAAAAATGTAATATATAGTTTAATCTACAACTTACAATACCATCTTTAGTTTGATTTAAATAAAAACAATTAACGACAAATATATTTTTGAGAAATATTCACTTAAAGATTTTGGTTAAAAAAATCCATTAATTTCTCTCTCCTAAAACTATATGATACAAATATAAAATCAAATACGCGTGTATTTATATCAATATATATTAAAATATTACAAACATATAACAAACAGATGGTTGATTTAATTGAAATATATATATATATCAACAACACACAAATTTGAATAAAATTTACTTGTCCACGTCGCATCCTATGAAAACTTTCTTCATTATTTTTACCGTTTTCAATATATATAATAGAGTTTAACTTAATCTACAGCCGTGGGTTGCTGGCTCGCCGCCGCATCCAACTTCTGATCTTTTCTCCTTCTTCTTCTTCTCTTCTACGAGGCTATGATGATACTCTGTGTTAAGAAATCAGGCATTGAGAAATTCCAGTGATCTTGGCGGGGTAACTTTGGTAGGTTCTTGGAACGGTGTTTTATGTCATTTCAAAAGCCACTCTTTGTTGCAGCCATGTGGGTGTTTCTCTCTTGTCTGCACAAAAGGCACATCTGAGCGACTGAGCCTCTCTCCTCTTGCTGTCCTTCGATCTCTACGTCTTTCACTCTTCTCGCTTGCTTTGTGCCTTGTTTGGATATGCTTTATTTGCTTCGGGTCGCTTGGGTTATGTGTGTGTGCGTGTTTGGGTTGCTGAGAATCCAAGGAAAAACGAACTGGCTTTAATTAATGTCAAAATGGTCAATTTGCCACATTAAAAATAAAATTTTTGCGCACTAGGTAACTAATCGAACTTCTAGCAAATAAATTTTGGTAATTGTAAATAAATTAATACAAAAGTAACTCAATCAGAAACATACAACTAATTTCTAACAATCCATTACCACTTATATCCTTATAATCACAAGTTAGACATCTGCAGGATGACAGTGGATAATGTTAAATGAGACATTAATTTTACCATTTCGTTTGGCAAGCAAATAGCACATGCCTAATTGAACAATAGCAGGGACACTGGGACAACTCATGGATATCTTGAAGCAAATTAACAATGCAAAACCCAATGGTTAAGAACATGGTACTCAAATTATGAAAACAAAAAAAATTGAGTGAAGCCAAACAGTTCCTTGTTCTCTCCCCCGATCTGAAGGCCTTGTATTGGATTTCTTGACCTCGGCCAGTGTTGGATTTAAGTTCATGAGGTATCTGCTTAAGAAGCTGGTGCTAGCGAGGTCCACGGAAGGGAAGCTCTAAAGTGATGTAATGCCAAAGTTGCTGCAAGGAACTTTAATATTGATATATTCCCATAATCGTAATTTCAGTAATTAAATTTTCTGTGTAATGGTAAGGGAATTGTAATCAATTCTACATTAAAAAAAAAAAGTAAATAAAAAATGAACTCAATTAATTGGATTATGGGATAGTTCTTTAACTATAAACAACGTCAATGAGATTGAATTGTTTGGTTTTATAGTTCAAAGATGGTTAGCCATCTCTGTTCAAAATGGTTGATTTGAACTGAAAGAGATTTAATTATTTAAACAAATAATTTTGATTTTCAGCTTTTGTATATGTAAAAAATTCTTTAGATATATAATGTTGTCTTGTATGTTTAATTGAATAACGAGGGATTAATTTGTTTGAGTTTTTGGACTTGGGATGTCCTGGAAATAAAGAAAAAAAATTAAAAGATTAATAAGCAACTCTAATGCATTACCTTCCTTTTTTCAAAAAACAACTGCATGATATTTTACCTCAAAATTGAAAAATAGGTCATACTTTTCAACTAGAAAAACTTGAATCCCGATAGTGATTACATATATATATATTTTTTTTTTTGAAAAAAAAAAAACAGAGATAGATTATTTACCTAGGTCATTTCGCTGAATTACAACTCATTTTCCAGAGAAAGGGCAAGGAAGGGATGAAAGAAAAGTCCCCCATAAAAAACAGACACCACAGCCAGGTCAGGGAAAGGCAAGTGATCTGTAGATCATTCATAATTCAAATATTCTGTAATTAATTTTAGTTTAAAATTTTTAAGTATGAAATTTCATAGTTTGGTAATTCAATTCATACTCTGTATCAGTTGTATACATAGAGTTGATTTGAATTTAGAAAACTTCTTCAAATACTTGTATCGTGTATATGTTGAATGAATCTACCTTGGCTATTTGGGACTGTGATTAACGACATCGTTTGAGGTAAAAGCTCCAAACACCATCATGAGCGTTTAGTAATATAAAATTTCAGGACAGACTACAGGGCACATGTGGGCTCCATATTTGGAAAGGAAAGGCGAAGAATCTCCAAATTTTATCCTTAAGAATCGGATAATCTCAACTTTTATGGTGGTTTTTACACCGTATATATATATGAAAATTTTCTAGAAAATATTAAATAATTTTTAATCATATAAATTATATAAATATGTGTATTTTTTAATTAACAAAACACTACTTTTTTACCCACGACTCCAAAAAAGAAAAGTTTCCTTGAAAGTGGCAGCAGGCAAAGTAAGCATAAATTGAAGGCACGTGTACGTCGAGCATGGTGAATGCAATGGTAAAAACTCGTTGTTAAAAATTGAACAAAGCTATTTTATTTCTCAAAAAGACAAAAGTTATCCCCTACGTTTTCACACTCATGCATGCAGTGCACGTGGATAAACGAGCCAAAAGTTGTTGCCTGCAGCTAAGAGGATTGATTTACCTTGGTAATTGTCCATAACTACCCTTCGACACTTTCCAATATATCACAAATGCATCCCGAGACCCCAATGCCAAAATTACCCGCACACTCCATGGCTCCACCTCCTATCCACCATCAGTTTACCATGGCAAGATCTTTATTTAGAAGGGGTACAATGGGAATGAAATGAAAAGGAAGTGGCCCAATAAAACAAGAGAAAGATCCAAGCCAGAGAGCAGTGACAGAATGAGGCTTTGCTCTCAGAGAGATGGGAATTGGTTCTCTCACGGTGGTTGTCTCCCTCTCTGAATGGCTGTGAAGCCAATGATTTCCCGATCTTGTAGTTGATAAATCGCTCTATGTTTCTGTATGGGTTCTGCTTTTTTCTTTTTCTTCTTCTTCTTCTTCTTCTTCTCTTCTATGAGGCTGTGATGATACTCTGTACAAAAAGCAGACATCAAGGGTCCTTTTGTTTTGTGTAAAATATTTTTCTTGGCGGGGCAACTTCGAGGAGTCAATAAAATGGGCTTTTTATGCCATTTCATAGACACCGCTTTGTTGCAGCCATGTTTAGAGTTGCTTTCTTGCCTGATCATTAAGACTCACCAAGTCACCATTCAATCTCTCATCATCAGTTTAAGTATGAGGCTGTGCTCTCAGAGAGAAAAGGAAGGTTTCAAAGGGTGGTTGCCCCATCTCTCTGATTGTTTAGTGTACCCGATGATTACTCTTGTACATATTCAACAGCCCTTCTCTATTTTTATTTATTTATTTATTTACTCCTCTCTCTCTCTCTCTCTCTCTCTCTCTCTCTCTCTCTGAAACTGTAAGCAAAAAGGCGGTGATGATATCTTCGCTGTGCAAAAATCAGACAGGAAGAAGAATACCCTTTGCTGGCAGGGCGATTTTGGAGGATTACTGTGAAGTTGAGAGATTTTTCTGTCATTTCGCAAAGCACTCATTGTTGCAGCCAAATATGGGATTTTCTTTTCTTCTCTGGGTGAAAAACACATCTGATCTGAGCCTCGTCGTTTGCCTCTAATTCTTCCTTCCCTTTTTTTTATTTTTTTATTTTGGGTAAGTGTGGGTTTTTTTCTCCTGCTAGATCTGGATAATTTTCTTTAATTACTGATAGGTTTATCCATTAACTTCAGCTTCTCTGAATTAGCGTTTACGTTTCCTGATTGACAAATATGAGCAGGAAGTTATGGGAAAAATAAATAAACCATAAGGCTTGTAATGGGATTTAGGAAATAATGAGCCATTATGGGACTGTGAATCTGGACCACCAAAAAGAGATTAACGAATTTGAAAAACGGTCTTACATAAATTGGAATTGACAAACAAGAAAAGGCATGAAAGACAATTTTAATTCATTCTGGACGGGAGAGGTTAGACTCCAGAGCGATTCTTGCTCACGCATGTAGTGCACGTGGATAACTCAACTGTCCTCATCGAACCACGGTTAATAAGATTTACCTTGGTTGCTTACCTATCTTCCCAGAACTACCCTTTTACCTACAAGCACGTCCAGAACTTTCCATGACCAAAATACCCTCAACCTTCGACGGCTCTCATGCTCATCGAACCTCATGTAATCGGAAGGGCAAGTATGGGCAAATTTTCCAGATATAACAAGGAGATTCTTTGGTTCTGAAGAATCAAACTGGTGAAGGGGCTTTTAATTTCAGTTTTCAGTGTTAATGCAAGAGAAAAAAGGACTAGTTTCTTATATGGAGTTTCTAATTAAGGATTGATTTGTTGATCGATTAGATGTTAATTGATTATATTGAAATTGCAAGGAAGTTTTTGAAATTGATGATATTGGATGTTTTGGGAGTTTATTTTAATTTTCTTGTGAGTATTTGCTTGGAAGTTATTGATCCTCTTCTTATTTTTTAAATACAATTTCGTCTTGAATTAAAATTTTTTTTGTAATTACGTCCCTCCAAATAGTAAAATTTGTCAAATTTAACCAAACAATTCAAATGGGTAGGTAAATAATAAATAAAGTAAAAACTATGTGAGTTTAGGTGGTTTTATGTATCTTCTTCGTTTTTCTCCAAACATAAGTCATTGAAATAATGATAAGAGGTGGCATCCTTTGAATGATTTCAATTCCAATTTAGAAAAACATTAGCATATATACTGCTAGTTGTCACGGGGTACTTATATAATATTCTTATGTGTTCATTCATATAAAATATAAAAATAATTATGTAAAAGTATCACGCGAAAAAACTCAAAATGAGTTATACAATATTTTTATGTATTCATTTATATAACATATAACATTTTAAAATAATTATTTAAAAGAATCACGTAATTTTTTTTAAAAAAAAATTAAAACATATATCTCATATTTTGTTATATGGTTAACTAAACGAAAAAGCGTGCGAGCAAAGTTGAGTAATATAATGTTGCTAATTAGATATTATTTGATATAAACATGTATTTTATTACAAATATATATAATAACCGATAATTAAAATAATAATGTTGTAGCTTTTTGAATTTTAGATGATTGATTTTTATCATATATTCTTCATTTATAATTTGTTAATGAGATAAAGAGATTACCCAAAACAAAACGACAAAAAACTTTGTCAAATAAAGAATTTGGCATAAAAAAAGAGATAAAATTACATACGATAAAAATTAAATGATCAAAACAAAGTAAAAATCATAAAACAATGATAAAAAAAAAACTTTTTAAAAAAAACTCATAAACAATAAAGCTGTGAACAGTTTTAATAAAAGTCAAGAAACAAATATTTATTATAGGGACAAAAATCAAATATAATAAAATTTAAATGACTAAAATAACAAAAGGTTACAAAACATGAACTAAAATAAAAATAAAATTCGCTAAAAGCCAAAAGAGGGACTTAAAAAATACAAGAAGAGAAAAAAATGATTTACTACAAGAATAAAATTTTAATGATCAAAATAAAAAGTTACAAAATAGAGACTAAAATAAAATTTTAATATTTATTATAGGAAAAAAAATAAAATATAATAAAATTTTAATAACCAAAATAAAAAAAATTATAAAATAGGGATTAAAATGAAAATAAAATTCAATAAAAGCCAAAAGAAAAGCTTAAAAAAATGCCGGCAAGAGGAAAAAATGATTTATTATAAAACTAAAAATCAAATATAATAAAATTTTAATGACTAAAATAAAAAAAAAAAGTTACAAAATAGGGATTAAAATGTAAAAGAGGAAGAGAGGGAAAAAAAAAAACCGGGCTGTAGGCAAGGCAAGAACAAGCAAGGAAAGACAAGGCAAAAAAAAAAAAAAAAAAAAGCGAACAGTAAATAAATAGTTGAAACGCTACAGTACTTTATGGTTTTGTTTTATTTTTTTTAGAAATATTGATATAGACGAAAATTGTACCATGTCGTTGCACTGTCCCATTCTAGCTATTTTAAACTTTTATTTTAATTATTTTATTCAATTATATAGGATCCAATTTTAGTCATTTTAATCTTTCTTTTTATTAAGTTATGGTGCAAATTAAACTTTACATTATTTAAAATTGAAACAAACAAAATTTTTTATCTAGTATCTGATCAATTATATGAAGATATCTTGTCAATAGAGTCTAATATAAGAGTCAGACTATCTCAACTTTAAATATTATAGAATTTGGTTTGCACCAGATAGGAAAGTTAAAAACAGTCAAATTGGATAGTATAAAAACAGAAAGTGATTTTTACCTTATTGATATAAAAATAGTTAAATTATTATGAGTTTTTTATTTAAAAAAGAAAAAATACTGTTTTTTAACTACAAAATTTATTAAAAACATTAAAAAAAACAGATTTTTGTAATTTTGCATCGCTCCTTTTAGCGAGCCCACTGTGCAGAATCAAGAATTTTTGTTAAACGCATGCCTACATGGATAGAAATGGGCCAACCTCAAAAGGATGTGACGAAGGAGGCCCAATTGGACAACGCAGGAGGAAAGAGCGGGAGGAAAACTGATCTGATTTCCCACATCAACAGGAATAGAAGCGAAACCCTATAGTTACCGTTGAATTACTTGACAGCAAAGTTTCGTTTTTTTTTTTTTAGATTTCCAAATTGCATACTGATTGATTTCTTCAATCCGGACACGACACTGATTAACTTCAGGCTATATATTTAGGCACACCCATCAGAACAACATTTAAGAAAAATATCAGTAGTTGTTGTATGCGTCTGTTATTTTTCTACTACAACAACGATGGATAAACAACAAATTTTTTGTGTTCCTAGTTCTTGTTTTGCTACCAAGAAAATCAAGAATTTAAAGAAAAGAAAACAACGTGACTATCAAGAAGTCGATAATGGAGCGAGTGGGTTGCTACTGCCACTTTTCAGCGAGAATCCTAACTGGATCCAGAAGCCAAAAACAAACGTCACAATCAGTTCTACTGCTGCTTCAAGAATTCCAGGGAGGGTTTCAAAAGAACTGAAGCTTCTTGATGATAATTGGGTTATCGAGAATTCTGCTGATCACGATTCAAGAATTAAAGAATCTGTGGAAGATCAATTGGAGAGAAGGGTGGCTTTTAATCTTAAGATGATGAGATCATCTTATAGCTGGGTGGATTTGCAAGAGGAGAGGGATCGTGGGGTTTCAACTCAACTAAGTCTGTATCATCATGATCCATTCAAGATCAAGAAGAAGATGAAGCCAAGTGATTTGGGTAGTTTATGCAGGCTACTTGTGTCTTCAGATTTAGTGGAGAGACACATACTTCCTTTCTTGAACGAGGATCAAATTAAACAGGTTGAAATAACGAATCAAGAATTCGATGGTTTGAAGGTGTGGGTTTGGGATATGAATACTGGAAGTATGCATCAGCTGGTCTTCAAAAGATGGAGCACTTCTAAAAGTTATATTTTCAATGATGGCTGGACAAAGTACTTCGTCAAGAGGAGGAATTTGGTCGAAGGCGATGAAATTGGACTCTATTGGGACAATAATCACTCAAGATTTCACTTCAGCGTTCTGAGTAGGGCTGCTGCTGCCAGTTAAGACTGAAATTTAGGGTTTCTTTTAGGTCTTGTTTCATTGTAAGTTGCTTGTTTTATTGTGTTCATGTTTAGTAGACATCAATATTGATCATTAATCTATTTTGCTTTAATTGATTTCCTTTCCCTGGTTTGATTTCAATCAACCAAATCATTGATCTGTATTTTGTTTGTCGTATTATTATAATATAACTGTAAAAGCTCATCAAGCCACGATGAACATAATAAACATAAGGTTGAACAAGATCGAGCTTTCATTTGAAACAGAATTACAACATGTAAAGCACAACCAAAGAAATTTTAACCAAAATCACAAGCGAGTCGATTATATTTATTTTTTCTTCATCGGATGGTGCATTTAATAGACCCAAAACATGGAAAGAGTTGGTACGTTATAAGAATTTGCATGCGCGTGGTTGGATGAATCCTTTGGGTATATGGTCTTTCCCGATCAGTGTTTTAAAGCTTAGTGTTTTAAAGCTTAGTGTTTTAGAATCATCATTTCCATGGCTTTTGTCTTCCTATTACTTTTCTTATTAAATAAATATACCCAAAAAACAAACTATATAAGAACAGTAAACACTTTGGGCATTTACATTATCCGCTGCTGCCTATCTTTGGTGTAAATTTAAATTTTAATGTTTTCGTTCTCAAGGAAAAAAAAGTCAAGTAGTTTACTACAATCTAAATTTCTATCTAATGTTCATGAGATGAAAACAACTGAAGTTCAATTATTTTTCATAAGGTCTTTCGGATTCTTTTAATGATCAGTAATGCTGAATGCAAAGAAAGATTACTGGGTCGTTTCTTTTTCGTCAGTTAAATACATCATTATCTATATATAATTTGATCCCCATCATCATAATAAATAAATAAAACACCATAGTCGCTTTTCTCTTAAAAAGTAAAGTACAATTGCAACAAACTTCACGGTGGATTAATATACTCAACTCAATCTTCTCTATTATAATTTTATTTTAAAAACCTTTAATCTTATGATAGTAAATTTTTTACATATATCGATTCTTTTTTTTTTATCTAAAATTAATCATTAATAAACCTTTAATCTTATGATAGTAAATTTTTTACATATATCGATTCTTTTTTTTTTTTTTATCTAAAATTATTTGAGCTTTTTTTTTAAAAAAAAAAACCGTTTCGAGAGGAGGGTATTCACATCCTCGTCTTTCTAATGGTGATAATATCATTCTTCTATTTTGTTAATTTTATGACTGTCTAACTATTGATTGATAGGGTAGAGTAAAATTGTATACAGAAAAAATCAATTTTGCTTTGAATAAATTATAAATTAGTCCCTCTAGTTTTAAAAAATAATTATTTAGTTTTTTTATTTATTTTCATTTTTTTTTAAGAAGTAGAAAAGGAAAAAAATAAAATAAAAATGAAAAAATTGATAAGAAAAAAGACTAATTTATAATTTACTCATATTGCTTTTCGGGTGTCGGGTTAGATGACAGCCCCGCAAACAGTCCCTTGGTCAATTCACTCCCTTGATGTCGAGCCCCAAAACAGCTTCAATTCTGAGAATTAACAAGGCTCAAAAATGGGCTTAAGCCCATAAGTTGTTTCGGTTCATCTGGGCCTTTTTCTAATTAAGTTCTTTTTTTCAAAACTGATAAAAATACTTTATTGATAAATATATAATAGTATATCATTATAATGAATACATAAAAAATATAAAAATTCTCTAAATAGATTACTTGTAAACAAGGGGAGAAGGATAAAAAAATATATAGAACAAAAATGTATGTAAATAAAAATTACGTGATTATAACCTAACGAGATTTGACTTACTAAGAAGTGTATAAAGAAGAGGATGTTGTATCACATCAAGACACTTATCTGTAACTAATCTTGTAGATAAATGTTAGAGGTGTATATACATCAAATTAACAAAAAAAAAAAGTGCTTGCAACTGTTTGTTTGAAAAAAAAAACTCCATAAGAGAACTTTATGTCTCCTTCTTTCGAGTTTTCGTTATAATTAAAGCAGATGTTGATGTGAATTTTAGATAATCATTACAATAAATACATTTACTGTGTTGATCTAACTAATCGTCTGCATAATTCAATCCCCAGCCAATTCATATTTCGATGATAAACTATTTTGATATAAATTTAAAATTATCACTTAATAAATAGAAACAATACAATTAAAAAGTCATAATATTAATAATAAATTTTGTAACTTTATTCCCTAGAAGTTATACTACGGGAAAATGTTTAAAGACAATAAAATATGAAAACCCAATAAATAAAGAGATTATACTAGGGGCAAACGTAAAAATAATGCAATATGAAAAGGCCAATAAAATTAAAGTAAAAAAAATTGAACTCGAAGAATTTCATTGGAAAAAAGAGACGATGACAATGATAGATTTTGAAAAAAAAAACAAAGAAAAAGAAAAGGATTAAAAAAAACTCTTAGAAAGATTACGAGGTGAAAAAATAAATCCTAACTTAAAAAATAGATAAGAATTAAAAAAAAAAAACTACACTCTATAAAATAAAATTTTGTCACCTTTGAATTTTTATTATAATTGAAGGAGATACTAATATGAATTTCGATAATTATTATAATAAACACATTCATCATCTTAATCTAATTAACCATCCAATATATAATTTAAATTATTACCAACTCATATTTGAATGACAGACTATCTTAATATAAATTTAGAATTATCACTGAATAAACAATAACAATACAATTAAAAAACCATAATATTAATCACAAATTTTATAATCTTATTCCTGGAAGTTATACTAGGGGAAAATGTTTAAAGATAATGAAATATAAAAAATCTAATAAATAAATACAGATGATAATAGTAGAAGTAAAGGAAATTGAATTCGAAGAATTTCATTGTACAAATTAAGGAGACGATGAAAATGGTAGATTTTAATAAAAAAAATAGATAAGGATAAAAAACTCTTACAAAGATTACGAGGGGAGAGAAGGATAGAATCGGCTACCTAGACAAAATAATCTTGATACATGCACGAGGGTAAATATGAAAGAAAACTTAAACAAGGGGAGTAAATTATAGATTAGTACTTTTAGTTGAGAAATTTTATAATACTTAAAGAATAACTAGTGCTATGTGCAGTAGTTATTTCACGAATCCACTTTGAGAAAAGAAATACACATGTAAAAAGAAGAGAGAAACAGGAGAGAGAAAATTTTTAAAAAATGAATGGATTTAGAAATCTTCTTATCACTTTCGTGTCTAATTCTCTCTCCTTTTTATTTGTCTATCTTTCTCCTCAAAGTGAATCCGTTGAGTAACTACTCGTACATACTATTAGTTACTCTTTAAGTATTATAAAATTTATCTTTTTAGTTTATCAAAAGAAATTAAATAATTGTTTTAGTTTTGTTGCTTAATTAATTAATTCATGTATTTTTAAATTTATTTGTAACTTAATTTTTTATTCTTTTTTAATTTACCTTTTTTTGTTTTATAAATAGAGAAAATTAAAATGTAAACTAAAATGAGAAATAAATATATTTTTTAAAATAAAATAATATTAAATTAATATTGATTAAAGAACTAATTAAGTAGTTTTTAAAATAAAAGAGACTATTTAATTCGGTTTGCAAAACTAGAGGGATTAGTTTATAATTTACTAATGCTAGGGCAACATAAATGTGACAAGGCTCATTTTTCAATCTCTCATCATTAATTTTGAAAAATATTTTGTTATTTTGAAATAAACTACTTCGACTTGCTAGTAAAAACTAAAAAAAAATAATAATAACTTAACCTTCTTTTAGTGGATCTTGTTTCGAACCCATCAAATCAATTTTCCAAATGCATTTTAATAACATAACATGGACATCAACCATGTCATAATAATCGAGTTCATCCTTACGACTCAAGACTCTATATTGAGTGAGACTCTTTCTTAATCCAATCCATTTGTTGTGCAGTTTGAACTCATGCCAAAACTAATAAAAAATAACATGAATTAACATATAATAAAATTATCTAAGTTAAAAGTTAATTTTAGAGAAAATCAAGCATACACTTTTAATATATATGTATGTGTATTAAAATAGTTGTCATTATCTCATTATTGTCATTTCTATTACTATCAACACTTAATCTCGATTTAATCATCATCACCTCATAATTATTATCATGACTAGGAATGATAATATGTTGGATATAAAGTGATGTAGTCATTATCACCTCATAATTATTATCATGACTAGGAATGATAATATGTCGAATATAAATATCATGACTCCGAGAGTGGACCATGATCGGTGTAAGAATCAAGGAAACTATGAGGCCCACTTCGATTCAAGCAAGCCTCGAATACTAATCTAAAATCCTCAAATCATTACCACCTCAAATATCACGTTTTTTTTTTAATAATATTCTTAGCTAACATTCATCACATTATATTTGTAACACAAATCATAATTTAATGATATCCTTGTATTTTTTAATCAATGTTCATAATTAATTCCTAATACAATACCCACAAGTTATAACTATAGAGCTGCTAAGAATACAACAGAATAAAACATAAGTTCTAAGAAATTACAAGAAATTAGATAAGTCGCATGGTCAATGTGCCAACTTTAAGACAAGCAATTGAATGGAAGCAAAAAGGCAATCCCTCACTATCTTGCAAAACTAAAATAATAAGAGGTGAGCAATCAACGACTCGGTGAGTAGACTTTATATAACATACTATGGGAGGGAAACAGACTAAAGATAATTACTTAAAACTCAAATCAAGATGCAATGCTTATTTTTTCCAAAAAAAATGCACATCATAAATCCAAATCATACATCATGATTTAAATGGTTCAAAACCATTTTGTATCAAATTGGCGAAACACACACACACACACACACACATATATATCATAATCATACGAAATCACATATCTAGGTTTTAATACACTCGTGGGGGTAAATAACGTATCATTAGATACGAACACCTAAAGGTCACACCCTTCAATACTAGGTTTTCGTATGTTGGCCGACACAAAGGCTAGTACTCGTACCTCTCCCGCTAGCCGGAGCCTCGTATTATTGAGCTCAAAGGCTACGCTTCCCGTAGCTAGGTTCCTCAAGATCTCGAAAACATTTTGAAAACCATATAACTTATACTTATTTCAAAGCCAATATTTCAAACGCGATGCATGTTCCTAATCAATTTGATACTACAATATCATATCAAGCAAGCATTTAAAGAAATTACACGAATAATCAAAATAATAATTTAAAATACATCCATATTCAAATATGTAAACACATATCAAATCAAATCACATTTGCTCAAACACATATTCAAATCTGTTTTCAATTCATATTAAATTATTTTTATACGAAATCATATCAAATATTTATAGAGTTAGTTCCCATCTAAGTTTTAATGGAATGTTTTTAAATTATATTTAAACCGGTGATGCATGATGGATACAATCAAAGGAATTTAAAACACGAGTACGCTATATAATATCCACTTACAATACAAACGAAGAATTGATTGGACTCGAACGGATCAAGATTGTTGTGAATGAGTCGCCCGCTTCGAAGAATCTAATAACACATAATAATGGAACATCCATCAATATTATATATCAAAAAATAATTCAAAACAACTGAAGTATTCTATAATTAGGAATACAAGATTACTCATAGGAATAAAATTAAACTAAATTCTATCATCTCTCCAACAATTCTAACAACTCGCTTAATCATATACCATTCTCAATCCTCAATTCAAACCTTTAAATAATAAATTTTCAATTAAAAGATCAATTCCATTCTAATTCACCCAATACTCATTCCATTCATCTCTAATTTATCCAATTCAAACCTTTAAATAATAAACTTTCCTAAAAAGAAGAGAGGAGGGACTTATCACTTAGGATTTTTTTTTAATTAATAATCATTTTTATTGAATTTTTATTTATTTATCCGTACACACGAAAACATTTATGTATATATTTTTATTTGTGTTAAAAAATATCATGTTACAATTAGAAAGTTAAAATTGTCATGTACATAGTCTTAGTATATTAAGCAACGAGTACTTATCAAATAACCTTATTATATTCAGCATTTAATTTTCGAGTGAATACCAAACGACTTATTACCAACATATTCAGTACTTAATTATTAAATACTTAAAATTTAGTACTTAACAGATTTAATACTTAATTTTTAATTTTATCAAACACTATCTAATTGTCAAATAAACATCAATAATCCTAAATTCAAAGATTTTTTTTTACAAAAAAAAAAAAAAAAAAACTAAAAGAACCGAAGGGAAATAAAAGTAAATGAATAGGGATTTTCATTATTCATTTCCTTTGGAGATAAGTATGGATGGGAATGGAGCTATATAATTTTTTTAAAACTTTTTTGGACATTGATTTACTAATTTTGCATTTCATTTTATTTTGATCTCTCCTATTTTTTAAACCAATTTTTGATCCCTTGAGCTGCTTCTGCACAGCAAGGCACACGGCTTGCATTGAGAGCTTGAAAGAGCTAGATATGCAGTCGACCTTTTTTTCTAACCAATTTTTTATTATTATTGAATTGTGTGGAAAAATTATGAAAAATCAATAACTATTTTTTATATATATACTAGTGATTATGAAATATATACAATATGCTTATATATATATATATATATATATATTGCTCTTATTATTTAAAATTGATATTTTTTAATTTTTCATTTCTTATAAAAATTCTCATCAAATTAATTTTTAATTTTTCTATTTGATATAATTTTATTTGTTAGTTAATATGATTTATTTTTTCTATGTATGAATTTTTAAATATTTTTTAGTTGTTTTTATTTTCTTATTTTTTATATAATCAAAATTTTAAAATATAATTCACCAGTTTTATTTGCTTATTTATATAATCAAATTTTATCGAAATAAATTTTATAATTTTTTTTATTGCACTCTATTAATTTCAATATATTTTTTATAACTTAATTTTTAAAAATATATATTTTTTATTTATGCTACATACTTTGACCCACTCAATATGATCATGATGTATAAAAAAAATAAGATAATTGTTTTTATTGAAAATTAACTATACATTTACACACTAACAACAATAATTTGCTATTTATGTTTTAATATTTTATAATTAATCCTTTGAAAAATAAAATAATTAAAATAATAGTTTAGAAGAGCCGCCTAATCATTCAAATACAATTTTTTTATTCTAATATTATTCATTATTATATAAATAAAAATATATAAATTAAATGTATATATTTTTAAAAAGTTAATCTTTTTATCAGTATTAAAAAGAATAAAAAAGATTCATTTGTTATTTTTCATACAAATTTTATATTACTTGTTGTTTTTTTTTTTTTTGATGTAATTATATAAAAAATATTAAAATATTTTTTAAAAATTTTATATTTAAAATATAATGAATTTTTATTTTAAAAAATTATGTTTTTTTACTACTAAATTTGTTAAAAACATTAAAAAAATACAGAATTTTGAAATTTTACATTGGACCTTTTAGCGAGCCCACTATGCTGAATCAAGAACTTTTGTTAAACACATGCCTACATGGATAGAAATGGGCCAAGCTCAAAAGGATGTGATGAAGGAGACCCAATTGGACAACGCAGGAGGAAAGAGCGGGAGGAAAACTGATCTGATTTCCCACATCAACAGAAATAGAAACTAAACCCTATAGTTACCGTTGAATTACCTGACAGCAAAGTTTTTTTTTTTTTTTTTAGATTTCCAAATTGCATACTGATTTATTTCTTCAATCCGGACACGACACTGATTAACTGCAGGCTATATATTTAGACACACCCATCACAACAACATTTAAGAAAAATATCAGTAGTTGTTATCCGTGTCTGTTATTTTTCTACTACAATAACGATGGATAAACAACAAATTTTTTGTGTTCATAGTTCTTGTTTTGCTACCAAGAAAATCAAGAATTTAAAGAAAAGAAAACAGCGTCACTATCAAGAAGTCGATAATGGAGCGAGTGGGTTGCTACTGCCACTTTTCAGCGAGAATCCTAACTGGGTCAAGATGCCAAAGACAAACGTCACAATCAGTTCTACTGCTGCTTCAAGAATTCCAGGGAGGGTTTTAAAAGAACTGAAGCTTCTTGATGATAAGCGGGTTACCGAGAATTCTGTTGATCACGAATCAAGAAATAAAGAATATGTGAAAGATCGGGTGGCTTTTAATCTTAAGATGATGAGATCATCTTATAGCTGGGTGGATTTACAAGAGGAGAGGTATCGTGGGGTTTCAACTCAACTAAGTCTGTATCATCATGATCCATTCAAGATCAAGAAGAAGATGAAGCCAAGTGATTTGGGTAATTTATGTCGGCTACTTGTGTCTTCAGATTTAGTGGAGAGAAACATTCTTCCTTTCTTGAACGAGGATCAAATTAAACGGGTTGAGATAACGGATCAAGAATTCACTGGTTTGAAGGTGTGGGTTTGGGATATGAATACTGGAAGTATGCATCAGCTGGTCTTCAAAAGATGGAGCACTTCTAAAAGTTATATTTTCAATGATGGCTGGACAAAGTACTTCGTCAAGAGGAGGAATTTGGTCGAAGGCGATGAAATTGGACTCTATTGGGACAATAATCACTCAAGATTTCACTTCAGCGTTCTGAGTAGGGCTGCTGCTGCCAGTTAAGACTGAAATTTAGGGTTTCTTTTAGGTTTTGTTTCATTGTAAGTTGCCTGTTTTATTGTGTTCATGTTTGGTAGACATCAATATTGATCATTAATCTAGTTTGCTTTAATTGATTTCCTTTCCCTGGTTTGATTTCTATCAACCAAATCATTGGTCTGTATTCTGTTTGCCAAATTATTATAACTGTAAAGGCTCATCAAGCAAATAGGTTAATTGATTTCCTCCCGAATTCTTTTAATGATCAGTAGTACTGGATACAAAGAAAGATTATTAGGTCGTTTCTTTTTCTTCACTTCAATACATCATTATCAATAATTTGACTTCCTCATCATATCATATATATATATATATATATATATAATAAAAAAAATACCACAGTCACTTAATTTTCTCTTATGATAGTAAATTTTTTACGCTCAAAAATAGGTTATCGATTCTATTTTTTTTTCCATAAAATTATTTGAGCTTTAAGAAAAAAGCGTCACAGGAGGAGGAACATATCCTCATGTTTATAATGGTGATAATAAAATTCTTCTATTTTGTTAATTTTATGACTGTCTAATTACTATTGATGCAGAACCTTAAAAAAAAAAAAAAAAAAAAAAAAAAAAAAAGCAAAACAAAAAAAAATCAATATTGCTTTGAATAAATTATAAACTAGTCCCTTTTTTTTTTTTTTAATAAAAACAATGATTTAGTCTATTTGCTATTTTTCATTTCATTTTCATTTTTTGTTTTAAGAAGTAGAAAAAGAAAAAGAAAAAGTAAAAATACGAAAAATTATAAGAAAAGAAAACATTTTATAAAATAAAAAAATATTAAATTAATCATGATTAACATCAGTTAAAAGAATTAAATAATTCTAAAATTATATAAAAAAAAACTAATTTATTTATTTCTCAAAATAAATGAGAGAGACTAATTTATAATTTACCCATATTGCTTTTCAGGTGGTTGTTTAGATGACAGCCTTACAAACAATCCCTTACTCCCTTGATGTGGAGCCCTAAAACAGCTTCAATTCGGAGAATTAACAAAACTCAAAACTGGGCTTAAGCCCATATGGTATCTCAGTTTGTCCGGGCCTTTTTCAAATTAATTTTTTTTTTTTTGAAACCGATAAAATACTTTATTGATAAATAAAGATACATAAGTACATCATTATAATGAATACATAAAAAATATAAAAATTCTCTAAATAAATTACTTGTAAACAAGGAGAGAAGGATAAAAAAAAATATAGAACAAGAAAGTATTAAACAAAAAAAAAGTACATGATTGTAATATACCGAGATTTGACTTACTAAGAATGCGTAAGGAAGACGATGTTGTGTACATTTATCTATAAGTATCTTATAGATAAATGCTAGTGTGCACATATCAATTTTTTTAAAAAAAAACAAAAATCACTTTTATTTGTTTGAAAAGTACTCATAAAAAAACTTTTTGTCACCTTCCTGGGGGGTTTTTACTATAATTGAAGCAGACGTTTATGTGAATTTTAGATAGTTATCACCATAAATACATTTATCATTTTGATCTAATTAATCATTTGACATGTATAATTCAATCATTATTAAACTCATATTTCGATGACAAACGATGTTGATATAAACTTGAAATTATGACTGAATAAATAGAAACAATACAATTAAAAATCCATGATATTAATCATAATTTTTATAACCTTATCCCTAGAAGTTATATTAGGGGCAAATATTAAAAGATAATGAAACATGATTAAACTATATAATAAATATAGATGATAATAGTAAAAGTAAAAGAAATTGAACTCAAAGAATTTCACTAAACAAAAGAAAGATGAAAATGACAGATTGAAAAAAAAAAAAGATAAGGATAGAAAACTCTTATAAAGATTACGAGGAGAAAAAATAACTGTCAGAGGGGAGAGAGAGAGAGAGAGTATCATGTTACAAGACAAAATAATGTTAATATATGAATGAGAGTAAATATAGAAGAAAACTTAAACAAGGGGAGTAAATTATAAATTAGTACTTTTAGTTTATCAAAAGAAATTAAATAATTGTTTTAGTTTAATTAATTAATTCATATATTTTTAAATTTATTTGTAACTTTATTTTTAATTTGTTATTTAATTTTTTTAGTTTAATAAATACAAAAACTTAAAATATAATTAAAAAACTAGAAAACAAGATCTTTTTTTAATATTAAAATAATATTGATTAAAGAATTAATTAATTAGTTTTGAAACAAAAGAAACTATTCAGTTCATTTTGGAAAACTAGAGGGACTACTTTATAATTTACTCGAACTAGGGCAGCATAAATGGGAGGAGACTCCCCATTCAATCTCTCATCATTAGTTTAAGTATGAGGCTGTGCTCTCAGAGACAGAAGGAAGGTTTCAAAGGGTGGTTGCCCCATCTCTCTGATTGTTTAGCGTAGCCGATGATTACTCTTATACATCATCAACAGCCCTTCACACACATGCTTATATACAAGCATATATATATATATATATACATACTCATCCCTCTCTCTCTCTCTCTCTCTCTCTCTGAAACTGAATGCAAAAAGGCAGTGATGATATCTTCGCTGTGCAAAAATCAGACAGGAAGAAGAATACCCTTTGTTGGCAGGGCGATTATCGAGGGTTACTGTGAAATTGAGGGATTTTTCTGTCATTTCGCTGATCGCTCATTGTTGCAGCCAATATTGGATTTTCTTTTCTTGTCTGATTGGAAAACACCTCTGATCTGAGCCTCGTCGTTTGCCTCTATCTCTTCTCTTAGTTTTTTACTTTTGGGTCAGTTTGTTTTTTCTTTTCCCCTTCCAGATCTGGGTAATTTTATTTAATTAGCTATAGGTCTATTTCATTGACTTGATTTTCATTTGTTTTTTGAATTAGCGTTTATGCTTCCTTATAAATATGAGCAGGAAGTTCTTGGAAAAATAAATAAACCACAAGGCTAGTAGTGGGATGTTCCTTTTTTAAAACTTTTATCATTAGTCATGGGACGTGCTCATGCTTAAGACTTGTGAGGAGATTTATTTATTGAATTGAAGTTTTTGACGGTTCACTCCTCCCTGTGGTTTATAGGGGAAACAGAGTGAACAGACTGAGAAAGTGTGTGAACGGAAATAATGAAGTTTTTGAGGAATTTGTGGTAAGCGGTGACATATAAACATGTGAAGCCCAGTTACAGGTATCTGAGACATTACGATCGGTCCAAGCAAAAACTAAAATGAAATCCCATGGATTTGAGACAGTCAGAAAAGGCCTAAAAGACAATTTTAATTTATTCTGATACAGGATAGATTAGGTTTTTATGCGAGGGCAAAATATATAAAATTATTGTTTAAACAATAATTTTATTTTAATGTCTTGTATTATATTATATATTTTTTATTTATTTTTATCCACATTTTAGTTAACATTTTTTATCTTAAAATTTTTAATTAAAAAAAAGAAAAAAATAAAGTCCAAACGATTGAATTAAAACAAAAAGGTAAAATCAAAATCAAATAAAAAATATTTACAGATTAAAAATATAATATTTTTTTTAAAAAAATTAAAATATAATATTATGAAATTTTTTATAATAAATATCTTAAAAATATTTTAAAATTTTAAAAAATTATAAAAAAATCATCACATTGCGAAAAGAATAATGCATTTGAATTGAATAACGCAAATGAGCTAGTAACTGATAGATAGTATTTGAATTGAATAACGCAAATGAGCTAGTAACTGATAGATAGTATTTGAATAAATAGTATTTCAAATAACGTAGAGGATAATAACTATTGTTTTAGTTTAGTGTGTGTGTGTTTTTGTTTTAAAAAAAATAATAATAATAGCCGAACACTCAGCCAGGAGGGCCACCATTCAGAGCGATACTTGCTCGCGCATGTAGTTCACGTGGATAAATCAACCATGGTCATCGAACCACGGTTAATAAGATTTACCTTGGTTACCTATCTTCCCAGAACTACCCTTGTACGTACAAGCACAGCCAGAACTTTCCATGACCAAAATACCCTCAACCTCCCCGGCTCTCATGCTTATCGATCCTCATGTAATCGGAAGGGCAAGTATGGGCAAATCCTCCGTATATAACAAGGAGAAAAATTACAGAAGGATCAACGAATGAGGTTTTGCTCTCAGAGAGACTGGAATGGTGTTTTTTCAGGGTTGTTGCCTCCCTCTCTGAATGTCTGCGAAGCCAGTGATTCTATCTTGTAAAAAATAATCAACCCTGCCTGTGGTGTTTTCTACAGTGACTTAAGGTTATTGTAGAAATCACCCCTTGTATTTCTCTATGTATGGCTAAAAATCACTGCTTGGTCCCTCTACTTTCGACATTTGGATATGGTCTACTATATTAGAGATCCCCATCATCATCATCATCAAGAACCCAAAGTACTTCTATTGTCTTTTCCTGTTCCTCTTCTTCTTCTTCTTCTTCTATGTGGCTGTGATGATATTTTCCGGTGGAAAAATCAGTTATTTTTAAAAGGAACGCTGCAATTACATGGCGGGGCAATTTAGGGTCACTGTGATGAAATTGACTGTTTCGTTCGTTTTTCACAGTGAGCTTTTTATTGCAGCCATTGTTGTTATTATGTGATTCTTTTATTATAGCTGACAGATGACTAATCTGAGCCTCGCTCTCCTCACCACTTCCTAAATGCGCTTTTGTTTTTTAATCTTTTTAGTTATCCGCAACCGGTTTTGGCAGAGATGATTCTTCTAAAACAGGATTAGATCTTTGGTTATGAAGAATCGAACTCGTGAAGGGGTTTTAATTTCAGTTTTTCAGTGTTTTTGCAAGAGAAAAATGGACTGGTTTCTTATATAGAGTTTATAATTAAGGATTGATTTTGATTGATTAGATGTAAATTGATTACCTTGAAATTGCAAGGAAGTCTTTGAAATTGATGATATTGGATTTTTCAAAAGTTTCGTTTTAATTTTCTTATAAATGAGAATTTTCTTGGACGTTTTGATCCTCTTGTTATTTCGTAAATACAACTTAGTCTCTGAAGTAAAAACATTTCTGTAATTAAGTCCCTATATGTCAAATAATGAAATTTATCAAATTTAATCAAACAACTTAAATTTAAATGGCTTAATAAATAAAGTATAAAATATCTGAGTTTAGGAGGTCATAAGTTTTTTTCCCTCTCCTTTCAAAATAGATCATTGAATTAATAATAATGTGAGGTGGAATTTTTTAAATGATCTCAGAGCCAATCTATAAAGAAAAATATTGATTTAGGGTAAAATCATTGTCCATATAATTTTGATTATTTTAATTTTTTTATTTAATTATGGTGTGAACTAAACGTTGTACTATTTAAAATTGAGATAAGTTATATTTTTCATGAGATAAATTATTTTTTTATTTAATGTCTAATCAATATATGATAATACATGGTTAATGAAGCTAGATAAAAAAAAAATGGTTTATTCTAATTTTATATAATACGTGATTTGATTTGCACCATAACTAAATTGAAGAATTAAAGTAGTTAAAATTAGATAATATAAGGGCAAAAAGTGATTTTCACCCTATTGATATATACTTCAGTCATCTCGTTCGCGAATGACTTCAAAAATTATAAGACTGCTTTGGAAGTACAAAAACTGTCTAGGCAAGCCATTAGCGCTATTATTGGCCATCTAATAAAAAAGTTGAGGATTTGCTATTATGGGATATCTAATTAAAAGGTGAGGATTTGCACCTATTTCTACGAAACAGATGGACATAAAATATATTTATTAAATAAAAACATGCTTTAATATTAATCTTGTCCTATCAACGACAAAACAACAATATGTCTTTCCAACAACAACATAAAATATATTTCTCTCCTTAAAGCAGATGTTGGTATATGTTAGAGTCTATCGACAACAAAACATGCTTTAAATAATACTTTGTTGCTCACGTTGCAAGAACCTCTGTTAGTCAACTGCATAAAAAAAGTCGCCACCACTTCCTTATTGCTTTTGTTATTTATTTTCTAGAATGGGATTGTCTCCATTTTTTCTTTTCTCACATAACCATTTTTTTAGTTTTATTAAAAGATTTATATTATTGAAAAAAGAAAAACAAAATTTCAAATAAACCAAATCAAAGAACACGTGTTGCATGATTGGTCAAGTTGCTAAATTATTTTAATTTACACTATCATTTATATTTCAAAAGTGGAAACAAATAAATTTTAATTGATAATTTCAAAAACTTACATAGATGAAATTACTAAAGTTGGTCAATGTCCTTACTAATAAAGAAAACATATCAAGCAAAATCGAAGCAGTAGAAGGACCAAATCATCTCTTAAATTAGTAAAGAGACTTGATTAAATCATTCATTATAATAGAAGGATGGTTATGCAATCACATGGACAACCAACCCAAGCACATCTAACCACGGTTAGACGGAACCGGTAAATTGCGTTCTCAGATTTATTTTACCTTCCCCCTTCTAGTTATTGTTACTATTTCAACTAAATAACCAAAATATCCTCATACCACCACCTAAATCACTCACCAATCCTCTGTATATGCCACGAAAGAAGAGGGTAACTACGGGAAGGAAAAGAGAAAACAAGTCCGCCATAAAATAGAGAGAAATTGCAGTTAAATGAGCAAATCACAGAACGAGGTTTTGCTCTCGGAGAGATGGATTGGTTAGTTTCAGGGTGGTTGCCTCCCTCTCTGAAAGACTGCGAAGCCGATGATTTCACCATATTTTAATCAATCAACCGCCCTGGGCAGACGTTGTTGTTGCTGTTGTTGTTTCTTCATCATGACCCTTCTCCTCCTCATCCTCTCATGAGGCTGTGATGATACTTTCCAGTTGGAAATCAGCCATTTTAATAAAGAAACCCATCAACCATACGGCACGGCAAGTTAGGGTTTATGTGATGAAGGGATTGTTCTGTCCTTTCTCACGAAGGACCTCTTCATTGCAGCTATGGTTTCTGTGTTTCTTTTTAATTGTCTGATAAAATATGCGAATCTGAGCCTCTTTAAAAAGCAGATCTAATCTGCTTTTTTAGCTCACAAACAAGAAAAGGGTGTGCGACCCTTTTCGTCCTTGTACTTCTGGGAAATGCTTAATTATAATTCATTATCTTTCTCTGTATCTCTGTATCTCTCTCTACAAGGCAGTGATGATGTTTTCGAAAATGAAAAAACAGATGGAAAGAAACATGCAATTTTTGGCTGGGCGACTTTGAGGAGTCTGCGAAATGAAACGAGAGCGTTGAAAACACCGTTTTCTTTTTCATAGACGGATCATTGTTGCAGCCATAATTGTTGGTGTTTCATTTCATGTCTGAGAAAAGGCGAATCTGAGCCTCCAGTTTCTTTCCCTCCTAATTTCTCCCTAAATCATCTCCTGGGTGTTGGTTAATTTCTATTCAAATGTTTGTCTTGGGAAAATTGTAAGCTTTTTCAAAGTTCTCTTTGTTATTTCAATTTCTTTCATTGATAGGAAGTTCACTTGATTTTGGGTCCGAAATCGGAATTGGTGAAAATGTATGAATAAATTTGCGTTTTTAAGGTGTTGGGATTTTTAAAACTCGTTGTAGAAATTTGATTTAACTTTAAACTAGCCAGAATTCTCAAGTTCTTGCTCTTAGTAGAGTTGGGGCACGGTTGTCATGACCTTCTGCAAAAATGGAACCAGTGTATGGTAAATTGGTGATGCTCCTAATCCATAAGAAATTTGGGTTTGGGAAAACAATTTCTCCTTTGATGGGACTGAATTTGATTGACAATGGGTTCTTAAAATCTGGGTTTTATGCGTTTTGACATGTATCAGTGAAGTAAACTACTGATGAGGAAAGATAAAATCTTGTTGATTATTAAACCACTTCTAAAAGGGAGTTGCTTTAAATCATGAAAACAACATTCCAAAGTGCATTGTACCGTTCAAAAAAGAAAAACTAGAGATTTATAAAGTGATCTTTCTCGTTTAAATGGGCAATTTAGAAAGTATGGAAAGTTGCAGAGTTTAGTATTACTGAGCAGTGGAAGCTCTGAACCTAAGTGAAAAAAGGGTAAGGAAATTTATAGTAATGTGAGATAGAAAATGATAGATGGATTGAAAAGATTACTTTGGGAAAAAAATTGAATTGCAAATAAATATTAATTGATTTGTTTTTGTTTTGTTAGACATTGAATTGAGCTCAAGCCCTGCAGGAAAAAACCAAAAATCCTAAAATGAAGCTAGTTAAAAAAAAAGAAAAAAAAAACCTCAAGATCAGCACAGCCCAAAAAACATCAGTAAGGAGAGTATTTTTGTTATTTTTTTGGTAGAGTAAATTATAAATGAGTTCCTCTTGTTTTGAAAAATAAATAAATTAGTCCTTCTAGTTTTAAAAATTAATTATTTAGTTTTTTAATCAATATTTGCCATGACTAATTTAAGATTTTTTTTTATATAAAATATCTTTTTTCTCATCAATTTTTTATATTTTTTTATTCATGTTCTATTTCTTAAATAAAAAATCAAAATAAATTTAAAATAATAAAAATAATTAAATAATTAATTTTTTAAATTAGATGGACTAATTAATTTGTTTCTCGAAACAAGAAAGACTAACTTGTAATTTGCTTCTTTTTTTGGTAAGACAATAAAGGAGGATTTTCTTTAATTATTTTTTTGATTTATGGATTGAAGAAGCTGGATTGACATTAGGGACCATCCCTTGCTCTTTCTCTCGCGAGAAAACATAGACAAGGATTACTTTGGCGAAAAAAGAAACAAGTACGAAGTAAAAACGGGAAAGCGCCAAAAAGACAGCTGATGCGTTAGCAGTCAATTTTCATTCTCTAGCCGGACAAAGATCAAGTAGCTCATCCCTAGGCAGATTGTTATGCTCAAATGGAGCAAATGAGTGAGGTTTCGCTCTCAAGAGAGTCACTGAATGGTTCTTTCGGGGTGGTTGGCTCTCTCTCTCTCTCTTTGAATGTCCGCGAAGCCAATGATTTCATTTTCCTATATGAAAAAATTCATCAGCCCTGCGCTGCCTGTGACATTTTTCGACAGCAACTCCATGTCACTGTAGTTTTCACCTCTCTCTCTCTCTCTTCTCTCTCTCTAATTTATATACATCTTCGTCCTCATCTTCAGTGTCCTTGTCGTCGTCATTTTCACCATGTCTTGTTTAACTTCCCTCTCTCTTCTTCTACTTCTTCTCTGAGGCTGTAATGATATTTTCCCGCTGAAAAATCAGTTATTTTAAGGAATGTTGCGAATTGCTTGGCAAGGTAATTTAGGGCCTCTGATAAAATGAGTGTTGTGTTTCACAGTTGCCTTTTTTTGCAGCCATGGTTGCTGTTGTATGCTCCTTAATAGCTTATAAATGGCGAATCTGAGCCTCACTCAGTCACTCTCCTGTCTGAGAAATATCTCTTGCATGATTTGTTTTTTCATAAAATGGTTTCTATTGTGTCATTTACATTGGGTCTTTGTCGTTCATGGTTAAAAAAAATAAGGAATGGAAGCGTAGAATCTAAAGGTTTTGAACATTGTAATTATAATATTTTTAAAATACGAAATGATAAGATAATGTTTAGAATGGTTTGTAATTATTTATAAATAATTTCTTTACCATTTGAACAATATTTCTTTTCTTCTTTAAGGCAATAAAAAAAACATTTTTTAATTAAAATTGAATTTATTGTTCATAATTTTTTTTTTCAATTGGCATACCCAAGGTTTCTAATAGAGAATTAATCTCTTAAAATTTGAATTGGTACTTTCTTATGCTAGAAACCACTATTACTCAATTACAAGTTTTTTTTTTATGACTATTACAAGTAAAAAGTAATAATTTTTTATTACTTATTCAGTAAATTTATTTAATAATTTATAATTAGATACTTGTTATGAAGTATAGTATTTATTTTATTTTTGAAAATAGCAATGTATTTTTTTTGGATCATAATTATATAATAATATTAGTAATCAGTATAATTACCGAATTTACTGAATAATAAAATGAGTTATTATGATACGATAAATAAAACTATTTAATAATTATAGTGACTTGAAATAATGAAATATCTATAGAAAGCCCCTTGTCCAATTTCCCTCAAATTTATGTTATTTCACCCAAAAACCCAATGACCAAAACAGCCCTCTGCACGTGTGTGTGTGTCTATAACATTTCTGTTGCAATATTGATCATTAGCTTCCCTTCCCTTCCCTTCCCTTCCCTTTCTTCTCCTCCTCCTGTGAGGCTGTGACGATATTTTCCAGTTATAAATCAGTCATTTTAAAGAAGTCCTTCAATCATTTGGCAAGGCAAGTTAGGGTTTCTGTGTTGAATTGACTGTTTTTTGTTCATTTTCGCAGAGAACCCTTCTTTTCATTGCAGCCATGGTTTTTGGTGTTTCTTTTTAATTTTCTGAGAAAGAAAACGCGAATCTGAGCCTCCTTAATAGTAGATCTAATCTGCCCTTGCAACAACACAAAAAGAAACAAAAAATAAAAATAAAAATCAATGCAATCTCTCTCTCTATCTCTCTATCTACCTATCTATGAGGCAGTGATGATTTCGAAATGAAAAATCAGATAGCAAGGAAAATGCAATTTTTGGCAGGGCGACTTTGTTGGTTCTGTGAAAAGAAATGAGTGTTTTATAAGTCACTTAACATCATTCTTTCATAGGCTCACCTTTGTTGCAACCATGGTTGTGTTCCTTGCATGTCTGACAAAATGCGAATCTGAGCTTCCTGTCCCCTCCCTTCCTCCTAAATTTTTTTAAAACTTTTACGTGGGTGGTATCTAATTCTATGCTCTTGCAATATTTTCTGCCAATTTGAAGTTTTTTCTAAGCTCATTTTGTCCCTGTATTTTCTCTTCTCTGTTTCCTTCGATGATAGAAATTGCAATTGCAGTTGGTTCTGGGTCGAAATTCTAGGTTATTGAAAATGAAGGAATCGATCGAGTCCTATTTGGTGTTGGAATTTATTAGAAATTTGATTTAATAATGTGATATTGGATTACTGGATGGAACTTAAAATGCCAGAATTCTCTAGTTCTTATTTTAGACGCCGTGCACTGTCGTCCTGACCCTGAACAGGGTAAGTTAAAAATATTAAGTTTTATTGTAATTTTATATTCGAAGAAAATCCGATTTGTTTTTCTTGCAGTGCTGACAGGTTTGAGTTCACTGATCCTTCAGACCAAAAAGGATACAGTGACCCAGCCCAACACAGAAACTAAAAGGCCGAAAGGCAACCTCTCTACCGAGAAAATCACCATTCACAAAAGACCCAGCTTAAGCCTTAAAAAGGTATTAATAAGATAAGATTTGGGGAGAAATTTTCTATGCTTCTGAGGCTAATTGCATTCTATCGGCTACAGATTATTAAATTCTGTATCAAAATTCTTTATCTAGTCTCATACCAGGAAAAAAAAAATTCTGATTAGGGAGACATAAAATGAAATAGTAGAATAATGTACACATGGAAGCTCCATATACATACGAAATAAAATTAAGAATCTTAAATTTTATTCTATGCAAATCAACTAGACGTTTTAGGATCGCATATAAGTAATGGGATAATTGAATTATAAATATATCAAATTTTAAGTTTTTTTTTTCAATTAAGTTCATAAATTTAATATTTTTCGTTTGAGCATGTTATTTTTTTTCAAAATTATTAATTAAAATTTTTTCATTAATTTTTTTATTGATCAATGACGCATTGATTATTTTTAAAATATCAAATTATAATTTTACACCTTTTGTTTTCTCTCAAATTATTCTACTATTTATTTAAAAAATGAAAAATGAAAGAGAATGGCACGCACGCATGTATTTTTATTTAATATAAAGCTCAGTCTTTGAAGTTAAAACACCAAACTAAACAATATACTTTGCTCTGTTACATTCAAACCAGAAATTAGAATCCAAAAAACGACGAAAAAACCTATGAGAAAGACATATTAACAGGAATCAAAATTCGATGGAGACATTGGAATTTGATGTTATACCAGGTGAGATTGTTTATTTGTTTGTAATTCTTTGTTTAATGCCACTTACTGTTAGGGTTGCTAAATAATAGGTACTTTTTGGGTTTTTATTTTTATTTTTATTGTAATAGTTTGTTTAAGGATTTTATTGTGGGCTCTGATTTCTTTATCTTTTTTGCAATCCTTTGATTTTCTTTATTCACTCATGTTGTAGGGACGATGACTAGTCAAAACAAAGATCCAAAGTTGTATTGCATTATGATAGACAATTTTTCAATAATTTTAAATTTGAATATTTGGATGGTAAAAGAGCAATTTACTTTGTTAAAAATATTCACAGCTTATATGTGTGAGATATTGTTGATTTGCCAAAGAAAAAGGTTGAGCATATTCCTAACACATATTTCGAGACTATATTTAAGAAATAGATAAAAAAAGGTTTTTCTTTTAGATTGTGATCTTCTTGTAGTATAGTTAATCAAGTTTTTGGAGAGATATAATATTGTAGATGCTTTTATGTGGTAGGAGATTACATTAAGCAATGCTATGTGAAGCTTGAAAGAGCATGTGTGTGAGAATGAAATTTATTGTTTTGTTGGGAGGATAGAAGAGGACAAGAGGAAAGTGTCTACTTGTTTTGAAATAATGATGAAGTTAGGGTTAATAATCAAGTTAAAAATGACAATGAAGTTAGGGTCACCAATGAAGCTAATATCAACCGTGATGATGGAATGGACAACAAAGATATTAGTAAAAGTAGTGAAGAAGATAAAGTGAAGCTCAATGAGTTAGATTCTAAAGTGGATGAAACTAATTTGGTTGATATTGATGTTGATTGTTTGCGTGACAATGATGCTGAGGTGAAAAAAAGCAAAAGTGAATTTGAAAAAGTTTTACACAAGAGAGTTTAAGGGCTAGGAATTAATTAGAAAGAAGAACCAAAATAGAATTTTGGAAGGGCTAATGCTAATAAGGATTTGAGGATTCTAGGTATTGATGTTGAATATATAACTAATTAAATTTCAAAAGATAATAATTGTAATTATGAAAAAATAGATGTTGAATATGATGATATTATAATTAGGATAATGAGCAAGACATTAGTTTTTGATACAAAAACCGTGAAATCTTATTTATACCTTAATATGGTGTTTGATGATCTAAATTAATTTAAATAGGTTGTGATAAAATATTCTATTCTTTTAAAAAAGTGACGTTAGATACAATAAGAATATTGATTTCACGGTGAGGGAAAAGTGCAAGGTTCTAAAATGTACTTGGGAATTATTTGCATTATATAATAAAAACTCACATGATTTGAAGATAAAGACTTATCATAAAGAGCATCAATGCATTCTTATTTTATACAACAATATACTTACAAATAGTTGGATGACTATCAATATGTTTAATAAAATAAAGACTCTACCATCAATGAAGCTCTACAAATTAAGATATACTTTAAAGGATAAATATTGTATGAAGGTTGTTTTGTCAAAATGTCATAGAGCTAAAACGAGGGCAATGAAATAGAACATAGGAAAAACTAAATTAGAGTATGTTAAATTAGAAGACTATAAAGGTGAGCTAATAAGGTGTAATCTTGGATGTACAATCTTGTTATGCTGCGAAAGTTTCACATCATGCTAATATTTTTTTGCCAATTTTTGACACATATATACATTGGGTTAAAGGTCCGGGATGTCCCTCTACTATTTCAAATTTTTTAATCGTATCCCCCTATTAAATTTTTTAACTATTATGTCCCTCAGCTCTATTTTACATCTTCATTTGGTTCCTCCAATCAAATTTTCTCGACAC